TTGATGAGCAGTGCCCTGTCTGCGCCCAGGATTCGAACCGGCAAACCCTGGGCCACTGAAGCAGAGGGTGGGAACTTAACCACTTGGCCATGGGGCCGTCCCCAGGGATGGCCAATTCTGATCTCTCACATAAGAACGTGTTGTAATTTTTGTACTTGTAGAATGAGAAACTGTAATCGCAGGCCCACCAGGACCAGTTCAACTGACCACATCTCTTATCAACAGAGTGATTAAGAATTGCCTTTCAGAAAATGTGCTAAGTCATGGAGCCAGAGCATGCACAGATGGAGAACTCTTGACTTGAAATGACTGCGGAACCAAAGATTCTCCTCCCTACCGAACCAAAGGAGCTGGACATGACTGGAACTTAAAAGTTGGACTCTTATCAGAAGCAAGGGGTCTATCATTCAGAAAGATCTGCTGTTCAAATTCCTTCCCCACCTCACCATAAATGTTTAAAACCTTACTGTAAAAGTTTAGAACCTCATCATAAATGTTTAGAACCTTACCATAAATGCTTGAAGCTCACCAGTCAAAACCCGTCCTACCAGCCTTTCCAGGTGCCAGCCTGTTCTCCCTAACCTCTTAAATTTTGCCCCAAATCTTGGATCAGGGAGACAGATCTGAGGGCACACATCCATCTCCCTGCAGATCCATCTCGCAGAATAAAGCTGATCCCTTTTCCCAAAGGCTGATGCTCTAATTAATTAGCTTGTTTATGCACATGAGGCAACAGAATCCCAATTTTGTGTGGTAACAAAACTATATTGCCCAAAAGCTTACAGTGAATCTCAGTAGTGGTTTTAAACTAACGTGATGTTTATTACAGCTGCAGTATATTTGGGGAAAAAACACACGGGGAGATATTGTTCAGTCTAAGACAACACATGGGCACACCCGGGAGGAAGAGAATTCCTTTACCAACTCTAGGTTCTTCTGGCTGGTCTATGAATTAAATTGATGTGAGACAGAATAACAGGAGAAAAGCAGACAAAGCTTTATAACACGTATACATGAGAGAAGCCCAGGAAAATGAGCAACTCGCTAAAATGGCCAAGTCTGCCACCTTAAATACCATCTTTAGCTAAAGACAAAGGAGGATGTTGCGGGTAGGGGTTCGGGGCTTCATAGGGAAGGAAGGCAATTCACACAGACACGGAAAAGCAAATGTTTGGTAGATGAGAACGGGCTTAGCAAGGACCCTCACGGTCTACCAATACCCAGAGTTATCTACGGTGATGGGTTGTCCTGGGGACAGCACTTCTATCTTAAATTCTTCAAGGCAGGTAGGGGGAAGGTCAAGGTTTCTTTTCAAGTCCTTGGTCTTAAAAGTAAGGCAAAGAGACATATTTTGAGGTGGCCACTTCTGATCCTCCACAGGCAAACACAAATTTGTTTTTACCTTTTCAAATGGGGGCACTTAACAAAGTAAAAATATGACACATCTTTATGAACCATAAATTTCACACCATGTTCAAAAAATTGGAGGGCCAGCCTGGTGGTATAGTGGTTAGGTTTGCATGCTCCACTTCAGTGGCCCAGCGTTCACTGGTTCGGATCCCCGGTGTGGACACGGCACCACTTGGCAAGCCATGCTGTGGTAGGGGTCCCACATATAAAGTGGAGGAAGATGGGCACGGATGTTAGCTCAGGGCCAGTCTTCCCCAGCAAAGAGAGGAGGATTGGTGGCAAATGTTAGCTCAAGGCTAATCTTCCTCCAAAAAAAAATTGGAGAAAAGATAGAATGTTATCTTTTATGGGCAGGAACTTTGTCTGGATCCTGTGCCTAGAATAGTGACTGACATAGCAAAGGATGAATGAAGTAATACAGTAAAACAAAAACAGAAAATGAGTATAAAGCAAAATTCACAGGATTTCGATAAAATACACAAGACTTCAACGAAATATCAGGCTTTCTCTAGGCTATTTTAGGTTATGTAGTTGTGGTAGGCTAAAAAAATGATCCTTGGGGCCGGCCCTGTGGCAAAATGGTTAAGTTTGCATGTTCTGCTTCAGCGGCCCGGGGTTCACCGGTTCGGATCCCAGGTGTGGATGTGGCACCTCTTGACAAGCCATGCTGTGGTAGGCGTCCCACATATACAGTAGAGGAAGATGGGCCTGGATGTTCGCTCAGGGCCAGTCTTCCTCAGCAAAAAAAGGAGGATTGGCAGTAGTTAGCTCAGGGCTAATCGTCCTCAAAAAAAAAAAAAGATCCTTTCCCCAAAGTATCCAGGTGAAACCCCTGGAACCTGTGCACATTACCTTATTTGGAAAACTGAGTCTTTGCAGATGTAACTGATGGAACATGAGAGCATCCTGGATTATCCAGGTGGGCCACAAATCTAATCACGAGCGTCTTTATCAGAGACAAACGAAAGTCAGTGCGAAGTTGGAGGCAGAAATTGACGTGATGTGGCCACAAGTCAAGGAAGCCAAGGAACACCTGGACCCCTTAGAGAGGTTGGACCCTCTACAGAGGTCCTCCCTTAAGGGCCTTTTCAAGTAGATCTCATGATTTATTGATCTTAGTGGCTTTCAATCCTAGACAGGGAATAAACCTGCTCTTGAAGTCAAACAAAATGTGGGAGCTTTAATTGACAATTTAAGAAATAAAAAACAAGTTTGAAAGAACGTCTAAAGTTATGCCAATTTTAATTGATACCACGTTGAGTCATAAAAAAAATTATAGAACTCAAGGCTGTATTTACCAATATATTCTCTCTTTTTTTTAAAGATTTTATTTTTTTCCTTTTTCTCCCCAAAGCCCCCCAGTACATAGTTGTATATTCTTCGTTGTGGGTCCTTCTGGTTGTGGTATGTGGGACACTGCCTCAGAGTGGTTTGATGAGCAGTGCCATGTCTGCGCCCAGGATTCGAACCAACGAAACACTGGGCTGTCTGCAGTGGAGCGCAGCGAACTTAACCACTTGGCCACAGAGCCAGCCCTATATTATCTTTTTTTAAACCCTTTTTTTTTTTAAGATTGGCACCTGAGCTAACAACTGTTGCCAATCTTTTTTTTTTCTGCTTTTTCTCCCCAAATCCCCCAATATATAATTGTATGTTCTTTTAGTTGTGGGTCCTTCTAGTTGTGGCATGTGGGATGACCCCTCAACATGGCCTGGTAAGCAGTGCCATGTCCACGCCCAGGATCCAAACCAGCGAAACCCTGGGCCACTGAGGCAGAGCGCAGGAAGTTAACTACTGGGCCACGGAGCAGCCCCACCAATATATTCTTGATCATTCCCCATGATATACACACCATAGACGTTAATGAACAGCCCACCTACTTCTTAATGTGCTATTGTAGACATCACAATTATGACCCCAAACCATCACTTCTTTAGCTATCCAATGAAGCACAAAGAAGTTGAAAATTAAGAATATATCATGCTAAAAAAAAAAAAGAATATATCATGCTTAATTCAGGCATAACACTTTTGTCTGAAGTACTTTCATTTTGGGACCCCTTTAAAAAAATCTGTCCGGGGGCCGGCTCCGTGGCCGAGTGGTTAAGTTCGCGTGCTCCGCTGCGGCGGCCCAGGGTTCGGATCCTGGGCGCGGACATGGCACCGCTCGTCAGGCCACGTTGAGGCGGCGTCCCGCATCCCACAACTAGAAGGACCTGCAACAAAGATATACAACTATGTACGGGGGGCCGGTTTGGGAAGATAAAGCAGAAAAGAAAAAAAAGAAGATTGGCAACAGTTGTTAGCTCAGGTGCCAATCTTTAAAAAAAAAAAAATTTAATCGTAGATCATGTAAATCTGAAAAGCATTTGGATTAGTTTCTAAAAAAAAAAAAAATCTGTCCAATGAATTCTGTGCTCCACATAGGCCATCTATCCTTTATTAAAATTAAATTGCTACATGGTTGTTTCACCTCATAATAGGCTTTATTCTGTAAAACCATTTGAGACCATAAGGTAAAATCTCACTTCAAAACAAAAATAATACAGTAAATTTCCTAAATAGCTATCTTTTGATGAAAACACAACCAAACCAAACCCCACAACACTACAGATAACATATCTTAGTTTTTAAAGTTAATTTCAGATTTATGAAGAATGACCTCACATGATTTGGGGTATTTTTACAACTACTTTTCATCCTTCTATGAAGCAATGAACATAGCTCCTTCGAAAGAAGGAAAAGAACTGTCAGAAACAGAAGACCTAATTTTGCAACTTGGTAACTTGAATCTTAAACTTTGTTGAGCATCAAGGATCAAAAAAGGTCTGGATCGATCTGATAATTATTTAGAATTTGAGACACACCGTTTGACCTCTGACCTTAACAAACATATTTTGATGTCCCCAGTAAATAAAAATGAAGGCCCACCCACTCATCTTACCCAGCGACGCACAAAGGGCTATTATTACCAGGACTGAGCGGCACAATCTTGTCCTTAGCAGCCTCCGCCTATTTTCAAAGCCATAGTGACACGCCTCTGGGCTATTTTAAGTTCTAGCTCCTAATTTCATTTTTATTTTGAAAACACAATCTTTGTTTTCTTTGGAATGAACATTCCCCATTGGATTACTTTTTTCTTCGAGTTCTGAATGTGAAATCCAACATTCCCACGATTTCTATGCGTTCTCCATCCATGGCCTCATTGGAAGATGACACATTTAGGCTCTTCCTTCAGCAACACCGGGACCCGTCCGACAGGAAGCTGTGACGACGCTGCCAGCCTTTGGGAAACACCCCAGGCTCTCTGATTGTCGCGGACAATCATTGTTTTTCTTCCCGTTTCGCGAGCACGTGGGTCACAGTCTCCACGCGCTGAGCCTTGATGAGGGTCTCCAGCCTGAAATGAAACAGGTGCGGGGCAGGGACGAGCCCTGGAGACCAGCAGGTGGGGCCTCGGCGGCACGGGGACGGCTGCTGACAATGGGCGGGACCGCGGGGACGCCGCGCTCCGGGGAGGGGCTCCGGGGCCGCGCGGAGGAGCCGGACCAGCCCGGCGGCGCGCGGGCAGCCCGGGGCGGGGCGAGCAGGCCCGGCGGGCGGTCCCGGGGGGCGATCGGCGGCCCTGCGTGGCTGTTTCTGCGCTCCGACCATGTCCTGGCTCCGCGCGGCGCGGACGGGGACGCGGCTCGTCTGGACCAGGAGCTGGAGCGGCGCGGCGGCCTCGGGGTAGGGGGCGCGGCGGGGGGGCGCCGGGGGGCCTTGGAAGGGTGGGGACGAGATGGTGCCCTCTGCGGTTCTGTGGACCTGAGGATCCCGTGACGCTCAGGTTGGAAATACTTGAGTCGTGTTCGCTTGAACCACTGCCCCCCCCCCCCGCCTTGATTCCCAGGTAAAATACAAGATGCCCTGATAAATTGGGATTTCAGACAAACAGCGAATAATTTGGTCCACATGTATCCCAAATATTGCACGGGACACAGACTACACAGTTATTCGCTGAGCATCTGAAATTCTAATGGAATCGAGCGTTCTGCATGTTTCTTTGCTAAACCTGGCAACCCGGGTGCAGGAGGTGAAGGTGACGCTTCCTGCTAAATGGCCAAGTCTTTGAGGGTAGGGACTGCGACTTATACAAGTCAGTGTCGCCTCTGACTAGAGCAGGACAGTGAGTTTCCTCCGCTTTCCCGCTTCCAATACCCCGCGGCCACCAGGCCTGCGGTGGAAGACCCACGGCTTGGCTGATGCTGGGTCCGCGCGGCTGGCCCGCAGGTCTCTCTCGCAGAGATCGCAGATCTGTGCCCGCCCCTGGGCATCCATCCCTCAGTCTGGGAGTCTCTTTCTACCTGCTTGATCTGGCAACTCCTACCAGGTTTGCGAGAATCTGGGAACTCTTGATTAACTCTCTATGCGAAGCTAGCGAACCCCCTGGGAAGGTGGTCATCACGTGGTGTAACTGTTTGACTGACAGGTCCTTGAGGCCCCGTCGTCGTGTTTCTCCGGTGATTGGTATCTCCGGGGCATTTAGCGCTTTTGCCTCCTTGGCACATAGTAGGCGCTCCATAAAGGTGGCCTGACTAGTGGTTGCTTCATCAGTGTTGAAATGAACCGATTGTTGTGCACTTACTTCTCCGATGATGCCCGTTTCCTTAACAGCTGATGACTTTCGTCAGGCTCAACTAGACTTGAAGGTGAAAGGGTGCCTTCCAGAGCTTTCTCTTTTATCTGGCAGAGAAGGGGGTGATATTTCAGAATGCATTTCCTCCTTCCTCTCACTCCCCAAGAAAGCATTCCCCTATGCAAGTTCTACTGGAACAGCTGCTTCGGTAGTAAACGCATGGTGGATGCACATGTGTAGTACACGGTTTGCGGATGCTGATGAAAGGCTGCGCTTGAGATAAAAGAACTCATGTTCTTAGTTGATAACCAAATAGGGAGCTGATTTATTCCACCAAAGCTCCTACTCAGGTCCAGGCTGATGCTGCTTAACCTCTTTTTCTGGTTTAGGCTCCAGAAACTCAGCTTGCTTTTTCCTTAAAGCTGCACCTTCTACGCTCCTCCCAAGCTGGCTGCAAGTCTCTCTAGCTGGATGCTCCTAACCACATCCTAAGATAAGCACACAGGCCCTTTTTATTTTAAAGGTCTCCTTGCTAATCTATTGGGAAGGAAGAATAATAGATTGTAAACCTGGGGAGTTATAATGTTCCCTTGGAGGGGTCTGTCTCTAACTGTTTGTCCTTACTGAAGTGGATGTTTGTTAGAGTGCCCTTCCTCTGAGTGTGCAGGTGTGGCCATGTGGAACAGATGCTCATCCTCCAAGGATAACATGTAGAAAGCTATTTAAAGTGGATTCTTAAAACCGAACTAGGGCTGCCCGTGGCCCAGTGGTTAAGTTCGCACGCTCTGCTTTGGTGGCCCAGGGTTCGCCTGTTTGGATCCTGGGTGTGGACCTACACACTGGTCATCAAGCCATGCTGTGGCGGCATCGCACATAGAAGAACTAGAAGGACCTCCAGCCGGGATACATAGCTATGTACTGGGGCTTTGGGGAGAAAAAACCAAAACAAAACAGTACTAAAATTTCATGCCATACAGTAACAAGAAAAGTTTTCATTGGTACCTTTGAAAAAAGGTAACTAAACATTATAAAAAGTAGCTTACTTTTATATTTAACAACATGTACATTTTAAGTGCATTCACCATGAATGAATGAAGCGTTTGGGGGAAGAAATTTTTCTATCAAAACTTGACTTTTGGGACCAGCCTGGTGGCACAGCACTTAAGTTCGCATATTCTGATTCGGGGGCCCGGGGTTCGCCAGTTCAGATCCCAGGTGCGGACATGGCACCGCTTGTCAAGCCATGCTGTGGTGGGCGTCCTACGTATAAAGTAGAGGAAGATAGGCACGGATGTTAGATCAGGGCCAGTCTTCCTCAGCAAAAAGAGAAGGATTGGCAGCAGATGTTAGCTCAGGGCTAATCTTCCTCCAAAAAAACAACAAACAAAAAAACTTAAATTTTGCCAACTAATCATAAGGAGACTATTGTCTGAAACATTTGAAGCTTTAGTTCTTTATCTTACTCTCTTAATCCTTAGCTATTTGGATAATTCTCTTTTAAGGTCTCTATTATCTCATCCCTTTGCAAGATTTGTGATTTCACTCTGCAGTTGGTTTGCATCGTGATGTTCCAGCAGTGCCGTAGGGCCTGGCTGATCACGAAAGATGAAGTGGATGGGGACAGGTTCTGGGGATGTGCAGAGATTTGATGACATTAAACTGGTCAGTTTTTTAGTGAATATTTTCCTGTTACAATGAATGCCTCCTTTTACAAGCTCCTAACAGCTAGATTTTGGATGATAAGTGTGGAGATGATAAGAGTCCCTGTAATCAAGAAATAATAGTAATAATGTCAAATGGTGTTGAACATTGACTGTGTTCAAGGTACTGTTCTGTTTTCTGTGGATCAATTCATTTAACCTTCACACAATGCTTTGGGGTGGGAGCGGTTATTGTTCCCACTTAATAGATTGGGACACTGGGAGCTATGGATCACTGTGGTTGAGATACTTTAGTTTCCTCAAAATCCTTGAATCATTGTAAGTTCTCTGTTTCACAAAGTGTGCATGGAGTTTTGGCATGCTTTAATAGGAAAATGGGAACTATGTTTTTTTTTTTTTTTTAAGATTTTATTTTTCCTTTTTCTCCCCAAGCCGCCTGGTACATAGTTGTATATTTTTTAGTTGTGGGTCCTTCTAGTTGTGGCATGTGGGATGCTGCCTCAGTGTGGCTTGGTGAGCGGTGCCATGTCTGTGCCCAGGATCCGAACCGGTGAAACCCTGGGCCACCGCAGCGGAGCGCGAGAACTTAACCACTAGGCCACAGGGCCGGCCCCTATGTATTTTTTTTTTTTTTTTTGAGGAAGACTGGCCCTGAGCTAACATCCATGCTCATCTTCCTCCACTTTATATGTGGGATGCCTTACCACAGTATGGCTTGATAACTCGTGCATAGGTCCGCACCCGGGATCTGAACTGGTGAACCCCCGGCCACCTAAGCAGAACGTGCGAACTTAACCTGTGCACCACCGGGCTGGCCCAGAACTATAATTTTAAACCAATGCTCAGGTCCTATGGCCAATCATTAGCAAAGACTATCTGAAATTTAGTGTTCAGAAATGACTGTACCAGGCTTTAAACACAGTGAATGTGGTTTTATCAAATAACTCAGGGCATCAGGAGGCTAGTTAGAGAAGGACACCGGCCCTTCTGGTTTTAGTAAACAAATCCTTTGTAAACTGATATTTTGTACTGATAAAAGTAAAACTGGTTTTTCTGTTTTGTAAGTCTGGATACATATTTGCATATCAGGTTTTCTTCAAATGGCTGTGATCTGATATATTGCCTTGAATGTTTAATAAACTGCGCTGCCTTTTAAAATTCCTTTCAGGATGGGGAACATCACGTCATCATCTTTGGGGAATTCAGCAACAGCTCCTGTGAATCAGATCCAAGTGAGTGATGCGGGAGATGGAAGAGAAAACTTTCTTCTGTAGAAAAAGAATTGTGGGGGCCGGCCCAGAGACGCAGTGGTTAAGTTTGCACATTCCACTTTGGCGGCCCAGGGCTCGCCAGTGCAGATCCCGGGTGCAGACATGGCACCACTCATCAAGCCATGCTGTGGTAGGCGTCCCACGTATAAAGTAGAGGAAGATGGCCATGGATGTTAGCTCAGGGCTAGTCTTCCTCAGCAAAAAGAGGAGGATTGGCGGCAGATGTTAGCTCAGGGCTAATCTTCCAAAGAAAAAAAAAAAGAAAAAGAATTGTGTCTTACACATTTAATAAGCTCATTCAGTAGCCAAATATGATATAGTTCAGCAAATGAATTACTAAATTACTATATGTTTTATAATCTGCTATCAAAATAATCCATGTGAGAAAAACGTTCTAGATCATTTTGGTAGTCAAAATTTATGAGATTTATTGTTAGTGGAGTCCTCACTCCCTCTAAGTTGGGTCTATGAGGTTGGTGGCTTCTCTCCATCATACCCACCTCAGGTGTACGTTGCTACCAGTCAGGCTGCCCTTAGCCAGGAATGCTATTTGGTTTTGGCCTGGGAAGCTGTTTAACAGCTCTTTTCCCTAACGTGGACCCTAGTATGCCGTAGCTGCTCCATAAATGGTCCTCTCCAGGGTACTGTGCACTGCTGTGTTCTGTTTTCTTTCACTGCAAAGCCCAGTTAATTCTGCCTCAGAAAATGTCTCTTCTATGTATGTTTTTCTTCCCTTGCAGCCTACAAGACATACTCACTTCTCTTTCTCTGTTCCTTACCACCAGTCACCACCACATACTTATTTCTGCCTTTAGTTTATTTGGCTAAAAAAGTATTCACTCATAGCTGTTGATTTTTTTTTTAGGAAGATTAGCCCTGAGCTAAAATCTGCTGCCAATCCTCCTCTTTTCTTTTTTTGCTGAGGAAGACTGGCCCTGAGCTAACATCCATGCCCATCTTCCTCTATTTTATATGTGGGATGCCTACCACAGCATGGCTTGCCAAGACATGCCATGTCCGCACCCGGGATCCGAACTGGCAAACGTGCGCACTTAACTGCTGTGCCACTGGGCCGGCCCCATATTGAATTTAACAGCAATGCTAGAAACCTATTGTGAGGGAGTGACCTCTTTTAAAATAAGAATACAAAATCATGAACTGTTTAGCCAGGGTGGGGTTAGAAAAGGTGAGAAGGAGAGTTTAACAAACTTTGACACTGTCATCTTATGTTTCAGCTCACTTTGGGATCTCTGCATCAGTGTTGGTACTGCCTAGCAGCCCCCAAGATGCTCATGTCTCTCTAAATGATGGTCTCACTGTGCCTGTGACCTGAGGCCACACAGGGGAGGCAAGAGCACTGGCTTTGGTGTTGAGACAAGGTTGGGTCCAATCCCAGTGTTATGAACTACTCAGGCTCAGTTTTCTCATCTAGAAAGTGGATTCAAAAGACATCTCTGGTATGGCTGGCTTTCCCTGAGACAGACTTCTCTACTAAATATTATGAGTAAGCAGAAGAGAAAGCATAAAAATAGACCAACTTGCAGATAGCTAGACAGTGACCTGGAACCCTTCAGACACCCAAGGGCGGATATAACTTCTGAATCACTTTGCCTGGATTTTCTCTCTGATTATTTTCCTTCTTCTTCTTCTTCTTTTTTTTTTTGAGGAAGATTAGCTTTGAGCTAACTGCTGCCAATCCTTCTCTTTTTGCTGAGGAAGGCTGGCCCTGAGCTAACATCTGTGCCCATCTTCCTCTACTTTATATGTGGGACGCCTGCCACAGCATGGCTTGCCAAGCAGTGCCATGTCCTCACCCAGGATCTGAACCGGCGAACCCCAGGCCACTAAAGTAGAACACGTGAACTTAACCTCTGTGCCTCAGGCCTGGCCCCTTGTCCTTCTTCTTGAAGGTGCTGCTTGTGACCACGTAAGAGCAGCCTAGACAGATGCCCGGGTGCTAGACCTTTCCATTCAGAATCTCTTAAAGGACCTGGATGTTCATAGATTTAGAAACAAAACAAATTTCACAGGTGATGCAGATGCATAGAAAAGTCTCGTGGTCTTTGTGAGTTAGGCCTGGAGAGCAGTTTCCAGACCAGGCTGATGTCATTAGAATCATCTGGGAAGGTTTTCAGAAAATAACAGTTTCTGACCTCTGCCTCAACCCCATTGAATCAGCACTTCCGGAAGTAGCTTTTCCAGGAGCAACAATATAAGAACATCTTATCAATACAGTAATGGCAGTTTTTTCCCTATAAAGATGTACCAGAAGGTGGGGCCTGCCCCGTGGCATAGTTAAGTTTAGTGTGCTCTGCTTCCCTGGCCTGGGGTTCGTGAGTTTGGATCCTGGGCACAGACCTACACCACTCATCAGCGTGCTGTTGCATGCTGTTGCGTTGACTCATGTACAAAATAGAAGATTGGCACAGATGTTAGCTCAGGGACAATCTTCCTCAAGCAAAAATCGGGGAGGACTGGGGCAGGCATGGTAGCATAGTGGTTAAATTCGCATGCTCTACTTTGGCAGCCCAGGGTTCGCGGGTTTGGATCCCGGGCACGGACTTTGACCGCTCATCAAGCCATGCTGAGGCAGCATCCCACATACAAAATAGAGGAAGCTTGGCACAGATGTTAGCTCAGGGCCAATCTTCCTCACCAAAAAAAAAAAAAAAAAAGACATACAAGAAGGAATGGAGGTTGAGGTGTAAGCTCTTTATACCTGGATCAGTAAAAGCCTTAACATTTTAAAGAGAACCATACATCAGTCCTCACAACTGAAAGTTAAGGAAGGTCAGGGCTTAACTCCTGAACACCTGCTGAATATTTGAGCAGCGGTATAACAGAGATTAAGGGTATGGACTATGGAGTCAGTCTTGCCTGGGTTCAAATCCTAGCTCTGCCACTTATTAGCTGAGGACCGTGAGTAAGCTGTTTCCCCTCTTCTGTGCCTCACTTTCCCCATCTGTGAAGTGGAGATGATAATAGGACCTATCAGGATTGTGGTGAGGTTTAAATGAGGTGTTGAGAATTGTGTGGGCGCACAGAAGTGTTTGCTGTGTGTGAATTTTCTGTGGTGGTTATTACTCCATGCCAACATGTTCCTTCTGTTACATCCTCTTTTCCTAATCACAGTCCTTTGTGATGAACACGATTATCCTCCATCTACAGATGAGGAAATAGCTGATGGAGATTCAGTTTGAGCCCTGAATCAGGAGTCTCCAGAATCCGTACTGTTTCCACTGCATCGTGATTTCTTTCTGAAAGGTGATATCTAGAACTAAAATTATATTTTTGTTTGTTTTACTTCAGGAAACGATTTCTGACAATTGTGTGGTGATTTTCTCAAAAACCTCTTGTTCTTACTGTACAATGGCAAAAAAACTTTTCCATGACATAAATGTTAATTACAAAGTGGTGGAGTTGGACATGCTTGAATACGGAAGCCAGTTTCAAGACGCTCTTTACAAGATGACTGGTGACAGAACCGTGAGTATATCTTCTGCGGTGTTTTTCCCCGAAATAGGAGGTGACCTGGATCACCCAGAGCCTAGACCCTTGTGTTAGGACAAGAGAACCAGGCATTCTCTGGGAATCTTAGCTTGAAAAAGAAATGACAGTGCCGGCAACCAGACTCATGCACTAGGAAACAGCAGAGTTAATTCACTGTATTTTTATTCTTTCTGTATGTATATGTATGTGTGTCTGTGCGTGTGTGTGTGTTTTCACTGGGACAGATGGGGTGATGGCGTTGTTTGTCAGGAGTGCTTGTCCATGAATCTTTGAGGTCCTTCTGGAGCTCTTCTCAGGATGAAAATATCCTTCCTCCCTTTACTTGGACAGGACAGACCGGGTCAGTCTCCCATTACTATGCTCATAGGAGTGCTTTAGTGCTCCACATTTTGAGATTCTTGAAATTTGTGCATTTTTCCTTAATATGCATTATCAGAAAAAATTTGCAATGTCGCCATTTTCTTTCTTGTTTATATTTGCATGGAAGAAGGTTATACTGTGCTTTTTCCTTTTAGTAACCAGCTGTAAGAAAGAACACCTGGGGCCAGCCCTGGTGGCCTAGTGGTTAAGTTTGATGTGCTCTGCTTCGGCAGTCTGGGTTCAGTTCACAAATGTGGACCTACATGGCTCATGTCTGTTAGTGGCCATGCTGTGGCGGCTGCTCACATACAAAACGAGGAAGATTGGCAACAGATGTTAGCTCAGGGCAAATCTACCTCAGCAAAAAAAAAGAAATAAAAAAGAACCACTTAAACGCTATTGATTATTAGAGACTGCTTTATTTTACCTTTTATATACCATAGCAATTAGGAGGAAGGGCTTGAGAGTCAGATTGTCCTGGGTTTAAATTCCCCCTCAGTCATTTGCTATCACTGTGATCCTGGGCAAGTTCTTCTGCCTCATTTTCCTCCAAAATGAACATAAAATTAGTACCAACCTCAAGAGTTGTAAAGATTTAAATAGGTCATTTGTGACAGAGCTTCGTATGGTGCCTGGCCCGTGAAAGTACCCAGAATATGAGCATCTGCTATTATTATGTGAAACGGTCTTACATTTCTGACACTAGCGTGACCTCAACTTTTGTTTATCCAACAGGTGCCAAGAATATTTGTCAATGGAACTTTTATCGGAGGTGCAACGGACACTCATAGGCTCCACAAAGAAGGGAAATTACTTCCACTAGTGCAGCAGTGTTACTTAAAAAAAAGTGAGAGAGAAGACTTTTCGTGATGTTGGTGCTCCTCACTTTGCCAGTGAAATGTCAGTTATTTAAAGTGATAATGCCTTTTCAATGTTGGAGGATGTTTGAAGTATGTGAATTGTGTCCCCAAAAAGTTGTAAAAATAATGAACAATAAATCGCTGTGGAATCGTTGTCTTCCTACTTGCCCATTCTTAAGCAAAAGGGATGATATTTAAAACTGGAGGAGTGGAGTTGTATCAAAAGATAAGGAAAGAATGTGTTTTATTAGGAATTTGCATAGGAATTTTACAACCAAGAGCTAGAAATTAAGCATCTGGGATTCTTTATTCTGTACAGTTTTCAGAAGGGGTTAACTCCTAGCCTTTCGTAGCGCTCAGTGGTGAGGACTCATTTAGGATGTACGATGTAGGGCTCTCCCAGGGATGGTGAGCTCGGCAGGAATATCCTTGTACTGTTTTGTGACAAGCCTTCACACTTTGTACTGCTAGAGAAACAGAAGTATGTTAAATTTGTAGGATGGAATGAACTTTATTTCCATGGAATGACTCTGTAGTTCCAGAGAGCAGACTTGTACCTATGAGCAGAAATCAGAAAGGTCCTTGAGTTCTGTTGAGAGGTGGAGCGTTCTGCTTTCCAGAATGTGTTCCAAGACTGTCGGAAGGGATCTAGTCTGAATGGGAGGTTAGGCTGACGGTCCCTAAAGTCACTTCTGATAGAGCTATTCTTCTATTCTGTGACTGGGAATACTCTTCATACGGATTTTATTTCAGATAAACTTAGCAAACAAGATTTATCCTGCTGGAAGTCTTATTTTAGAATAATTGCAAATACTTTAGATGCTTTATTAATGAAGTCAGTAATTCCAGCTTTCTATCAAGAATGTTTTAAGTGCCTGAGAAGCACATTCCAAGCTGATCCCATAGAGTCCCACGGGGCGGATTACCAGACGCTGGGAAGAGAAAACTTCCCTAGTGGTGGGAGGAAGGTGGATTTTAAGAGAAGTGAAGTGCCGGCCCAGTGGCGCAGCGGTTAAGTTCACATGTTCTGCTTTGGTGGCCCGGGGTTCACCGGTTCAGATCCCAGGTGCGGACATGGCACCACTTGGCAAGCCATGCTGTGGTAGGCGTCCCACAGATAAAAAAAGTAGAGGAAGATGGGCACGGGCTTGAGCTCAGGGCCAGTCTTCCTCAGCAAAATAGAGGAGGATTGGCGGCAGATGTTAGCTGAAGTTTAGTCTCCCCCCCCACCCCGCCCAACCCACCTCCAAAAAGAGAGAAGTGGAATGCTTCTGCTTTCTGGTCAAGATGGACCCAGGAATTGGGATGGTCCTGCAGAGGACAGCTGGTGGCTTCTTTGGCCATTTGCCATCATTGATGCTTCCTACATAATCTTATTAGACTGCCATTAGGAGACCTTGATAAAGCAAGAACTTGGACTATTTCATTCTCCTGTGATAAATTAGAACTATGGAAGGGAATAGAGAATGGAATGTCCTTTAGTCCTTTATTTTGCATTATGTTATGAGAAATTTTACATGCTTGCTATGTTGTCCATTTTTTGTTAGAGTAGAGGAAGTCTGTTACCTTGTGTGATACTGTAATTTATAGTAAATATCTATTTGGTCTTCATCCCATTCCTGGCATACAGCTTCTAAAACCTTTGAATTTCCTGTGATGAGAGCCATAAAAGTGTCTTTTATTATGTCAATGAGGTGACTTTTGGAAAGCCCCTGAGGGTGGGGTGGTTTGCCGGGGGAACCGACCTTGTCACTAGAGGGTGTGAGCTTTCAGCCCTTCCGACTTGGGGGGAGGCTGGGGCTGGAGATTGAGTTCAATCACTAATGGCCAATGATTTAATCAATCATACCTATGTACGGAAGCCTCTATAAAGACCCACCAGGATGGGGTTCGGAAAACTTCCAGGTTGGTGAAGATTCCGGGAGACTGACATGCTGCAGAGAGCATGGAAGATCCCCGCCCTTTCCCCATACCTCGCCCTGGACATCTCTCCCAGCTGGCTGTTGCTGAGTTATCTCCTTCTATAATAAATTGGTCATCTGGTAAGTACGATTTTCTGAGTTCTGTGAGCTACTCTAGCAAATTAATTGAACCCAAGGAGGGGGTCATTGGAACCCCCAATCCATAGCTGGTCAGTCAGAAGCACAGGTGACGACCTGGACTTGCGATTGGCATCTGAAGTGGGGTTGCGGGGGCAGTCTTGTAGGACTGAGCAGCTGCCCTGCTGACATGCCAATCCCCGAAGACTGACAGCTTGTTTTAACTGGAGGCTCGTTACAAGGCCTAAGGGTAACGGATTTGGATAGGGGTCCACAACAACCGCTAAATCCACAGGAAAAAATCAGAACTGGTACTTAGATTGAGTGTATCTATTAGAACAAGACAGGGAAGCGTTCAAATCACTAATCACACTTACTAGATGTGACCAGTAGGTAGATGACTTAATCTCTTAGAACTATGTTTTTTTCTGAGGAAGATTAGCACTGAGCTAACACCTGCCATCAGTCCTCCTCTTTTCTTTGCTGAGGAAGACTGGCCCTGAGCTAACATCTGGGCCCATCTTCCTCTCTTTTATATGAGGGATGCCTGCCACAGTATGGTTTTGTGAGTGGTATGTAGGTCCGCACCCGGGATCCAAACCAGGGAACCCTGGGCCACAGAAGCGGAACATACGAACTTAACTGCTGCACCACGGCGCTGGCCCTATAAGTTCTTTTTAAATAAAATATGGATAATGCCATCTTCCTATACTATTTACTTTGATAAATGGAGATAACGTAAATCACACAGCATGGTGCTTAGTCTAGACAGCGTAGACACTCAATATGTAATGGCTATTATAATCACAATGGCTCAGAAATATGGCTTCTTGTGGACCCATCAGGGTTTTCCAAGATTCTAGCTAAGATTTTAGGGGGATTTCCATTTCTTCTTTTCCATATGTCTTGGTTTGGGCTGCTATAACAAATTTCCCATAGACTGGATGGTTTAGACACAAATATTTATTTCTCACCTTTTTGGAGGCTGAGAAGTCCAAGATAAAGATAATTTGTTTTTTTGTTATTTTTTTAAGATTTAAAAAAATTTTTCCTTCCCCCAAAGCCCCCCGGTACATAGTTGTGTATTGTTAGTTGTGGGTCCCTCTAGTCGTGGCATGTGGGATGCTGCCTCAGCGTGGCCTGACAAGCAGTGCCACATCTGCGCCCAGGATCCGAACCCGGAAAACCCTGGGCCTCTGAAGCAGAGCATGCAAACTCTACCACTTGGCTACAGGGCCGGTCCCAAGTAATTTGGTTCTTGGTGAGGGTCCTCTTCCTGGTTTGCAGATGGCCATTTTCTTGCTGTATCTTCACAGGGCAGAGGGCAGGCAGAGAGAAAAAGTGAGCGCTCACTTCTCATACAGGCACTAATCCATCATGAGGGCTCGACCCTCAAGACCCAATTACCTCCTATAGGCCCCATCTTCAAATACTTCACACTGGGGACGAGAGTTTCAACATACAAAGTGCGGGGAGACACATTCAGTCCCTAACGCCATATTTTTACAGCTGGATAAAAGTATTATGTAAAACTAAGGCAAAACTAGGTATGAGTTTTTAGCAGCTTTTTTTCCCCCAGAACCATAGGCTAGAAAGAGAATGGTGACTAGTTTAAGAAAAAGTAACGTTACCTTTTTTTTTCAGTTCTCTATTTTTTTTGGTGAGGAAGATTGTCCCTGAGCTAACACCTGTACCATCTTCCACTATTTTGTATGTGGGACACGACCACAGCATGGCTTGCTGAGTTGCATGTAGGTTGGTGCCTGGGATCCAAACCCATGAGGCTGCCAAAGGGGAGTGGGTGAACTTAACTACTACACCAGCAGGCCAGCCCCCTATTTTACACTTGAATTGCCACAATAGCTAAGTGGGAAGTTGAAAAGCTGTTGAAAAAAAAGTATCTGGGTTTTACTGTTTACTAATATAAAAATATCATTTGAATAATATGTTTAAAAGTCAGGTGTCTTGATAAGGTTTAATACTGTTAAAAATTTTTAAGTCTAGTTTTCTTCATCTATAGAAATGTATAGTTCGCAATCTCCCTTTCTCCATACAACTGTTGACTTTGTCATCTTTAATACGACAACTATAAAATCAACCAAATATTCAAAGTTTTGGTAGGTGTATTCTGATGTAACTTGCTCTTACCCTTCTGCATAACCTACAGCTCAGATCTCATAACTTTTCAGAAAAGTTTTATGGGAATTCTGAGAGAAAAGAAATTCCTGATAATTGGCACTGAAACAAAAGATTTTTATTTGCATAGTTGACTTTTGGTGTTAACATAACTTTTCCCAGTTGGCAACTTTGAGTAGATTTTTTTCCACAAAATCATCCTGTTTTAAAACTCTTTCAAGAACGTGCATTTTGATTAAATTCAGTTGTTTTGGTCCTCTAATTGAAATCCACTGGAAAAGAATCCCCAACCACATATATTTAAAATAATTAAATAATAGGCATACACAATTAGAGGCATTATAAGGCCAATGTTAATTATCAAAACTTAATTTCCTCTTATTCAAATATGACTATAAGAACCTTAGCTTTTATAAAGCATATTATAACCTTACAATTCTTATTTCTTTAAAGAAATAAAAAGACAATTGTTTGCTGTGCATAGAGTTTATTTGGTACATCTATCGTTTTCTACAATAATACAACTGACCAGAACCAGTTCACTCAGTGCCCACCTGCCTCCATGTCTCAAACGGTTTATATTCACTACGGTATTTTGCAAGGCTAGAAAGGAGAGAAGGTCAACATTTCTCGGATTTGGTGAAAACTGCTTTATCATCAAAGAAGTTTAATACATTAGTGTTTCATTCATTTTCTATCAGAAGACAGCAAAATTACTTTGTTAGGTATATTATTTACAGTGCAAGCTTGGAAGACTCGACGAAGCCTCAGTGAGTTTATCAACAGACCCAGGAAACCCCCGCCTCCTTCCAGGGTCCTTTCCTTTGAAATGAAACTTGTTATGAATCAAACTTTATAGAGTTTTCAGCACCAGCTTGACAATTTAGTTTTCTTTCAGTTTTATAAAATATCCCTGCTTTAAAAGGCAAAGTGATTGTAAAAATGTGAATATAATTCAATGAATCACTGGCCTGGATACTTTTTATTACAACAGTCGCAATGTTTTACAACTATATTTACTTCTTTCAATGAATTTGCTTGTAGGCTTGAACAAAATATTTGCCTTTTGTCTTGAAAAATTCCCTTAAAAAATTAATCATTTTTGGAACTGTACAACTGTATTTTTCATTCATAGTGTTTAAATATGCAACTTGGTCCTTGGAGATCAGGTGACATAAGATCCAGCTGCTTGGATAATTTGTTCTACAAAACAATAAAAAACCTTAACTACCACAAAATATTACTGATGTTAACAGACATGTATGTGTCACACACCCGCGTACCCAGATTATCCTGTTAATGGGTGCTCAAACTACTAATGTGCAATCAGGTTTTAAAACTCAAGAGTTAAATCTCCATTCATGATGTAAAAGTGAAAGCTCTAAAAGACTTCTCGAGCCCTGGACTTCAGAAGCACTAATGCTATTAAGGCCTTACTTAGTGGACAGACCCAGTGGAAAGTAACTAGAATGCCTGGTTGGAGAGCTAGTCATATTTTAAGGCAGTCAGAGGTTCATTTTTTTCACTTTAAGGCTCTTGCATACTTAAATTTTATTCTAAGCAGGCATTATTTTGTGTAATTTAAATACTCATCAAGTGGTCAATTATGGAAATCAAAGCCTTTATATAAAGCAAATGGACAGTTTAGAACTAGACTATAACAATTCTCCCTTAACCAATTTTTTTTTAAAAAATGAGTTCATTTCTGTCATCCCTTTGAAGAATTTCTTCATTATCAGAAGCTGGCAATAAAAGGAAGAAAATATAACTCAAAAGTATTACAAAAGTTATGTCTTGTCACACCACACCAAATCATCTGTAGTCCATATTCAGAATAATAGTGCAAGAAAAACATTTTTTCTTGATTACTATTAATTGTGTACTATTTTAAATTTAATTTGGCTGTGTATGGATTCTAAACAGTTTAATTACACATAAAGCCTAACAAGTAATTTGCAGAGAAGTTTCAATACAATGTTTGTATTGATATAACACTCTGTCAGTTATATGTGGTGACGCTACATAAAATAGCAAGGCTTTAACCTCATTCGCTACCGTTAAGAATCCAAGTGTTCATTAAGTGAAACCAGCAGAAATGTAGCTAACTTACTATTTCTTTTGTTCAAGCACAAATTCTGACAACTTCTTAAAGTACAGAAATTTAAATATATTTTAAAATTAAATATTACCACTTGTGTTCATAAAATTAATATTAATCCTGGTGCTGCTAAATTAAATAGAAGCAAATGGCAAAATCTCTTTAGGCTCAGAAACAGCTTTTGTGTATTTTCATTGTATTTACAAAATTCATTCTCATGGAAAAGTATCACTTTAATTTCAGTAATAGAATTTTGCAACATAACTCTAGTTTATGTCTCTTTCTAGTAATTCCCAATATAATTTAGTATTTTCAGGGTTTAGGAAAAACTTGTCATTAATTGTAATTGTATTCAAACAGTATGCTTAACTACATTAGTTTTCTGCATGAAAAATATTACCACAGAATTAGCAAATAAAAAATCCACCAATCAAAAAAAAAGTTGAATGTCAATACAAATTATTTACAAGACCTGTTATGCTACAAGCCACGAATATATAAGCTAATGGAAGTGTTCAGAAGACTAAAGATTCTGATGGCGCGGTCTTTACAGTTATGGAAATAGAAGCATTGAGACACGCTATATTCTGAAAGAGTATTCAGTTATTTCTTTTTCTAAGTGCTTTTTCTAAGGGCTAGGTACATCTATAATTGCAAACAAAGTCTGAATAATTGATCTTACTCAAAGGCCACAAAATTTCTGCAAACATCTAATACAAAAGGTGTACAATATAACAATCTGGGGAGAGAATATATCAATCCAATTATTGTTCCAAGAGACCTGCCCATTATTAATTTGAAAAAAATATGATCTTAAATCTATATGGAACAAAAGGTAATCTGCAAAAGATTCATCCCAACCCTAAATATGGGTGACTTCCTTGTCATTCCTTCTACTACCCAGGTCGAGCAAGACTAGAACAAGAAACAGAAGGTTAAAATGTCAAAAGAAAGGAAGTGGAAAATAAAAATAGAGCTATAAAAGTAATCTTTCAACATAAGAGACACTGGGAGGCAGATAAGAGGGAAGTACTAACTAAAATCTATACAGTAAATACAACTAATTTCAGAGCTCAATTTATCATTTTTCCTAATGCTTCCTTGTACGTTTACATTGAGTCTCTATGACATTTCTCTGGAGGAGCTATGTCTGTTAAATCACCCCAAACCCGTGGTACCCGTGGTATACAAGACTAGAATTTTTCATTTTTGATTACTTACTCTAAGGGCATCACTTAACAAGAAATTTGTACTTGTGGGTATATCATCTTTAGGTCAAATTAAAATCAATCCACTAAGTGATCACAATGAATTCCCTTTAATTATTGTTGACATGTAGTTTTATTGTGCTTTTAAAGGTGTCTCTTACATAAACTGTCAGATTCTCAAATTTATTGAGGAAACCTGCCCTAAATTTCCAAAAGGATTTTATATTGGTTTAGCAAAACCTCAGAAAATGAGAAAAACAGCCTGCCCAAATGACATTCAATCATTTGTAGATTGACCAGTTACTTTAAAAGATTAAGCAAATGTTTGTTAACAGCATCTCTTCATTTAGAGGATGAGCTTGCTTTTCTAGGTCTATCCAAGGGGACTTTAGACTTGGAACCTACTCTTTCCTCCTCTTGATCAGAGATCAATGACTGCTTAGTCAACACTCAGCTTTGCTGTGAAAATCCTTCTTCCATATTTCCACTCAGAACAGGAATGTTTTAAAAAATTATTGAGCCTATTGAGCTATTTTGCTAAGACATTTTCTCTTTCAAAATACATAGCCTATTGTTTTTAATTTGTAAAAAGTTCTAATTTGTATTGCAAGCCCTATTCCCAATTTAAACTTTTATACAAATATTAATTCATGGATTCTTCTATGATCCAATCATCAGATGTTACTTTTTAAAGACAGCAAACTTGAACCCCATAGGTTAAATGGGCTGTCTACAGTGACACAGTAAATTAGATAAAGCAAAAGAGATTCCAGAGGGCTAACACTAAATGCCATTTCGTAGCATCTCCCTCGCTAAGGTTTCCCTAAAAGCTACTAAACTAAATAATATATAACAGTGTTAATAAGCGGAATTTCCAAGAAATTTCAACTAACAAGGAAGAGTAGGATCATAAGATTAGTTTTTGTTTTACTGATTACAGCTATATCCTGAAAATATGTACATATTTTCTAGGAAACAAAGTTTATTTTTCTTAGGATTGTTTTTAAAACATTTCCCTAAATATTAACATAGCAGTAATCCTAAAAGTAATTCAGAAAATAAAACTTCGTTATCACTTGAGTACATTTTATTCTTAATGAGGTCAAGTTTTTTATTTTTTCTATAGGATTATGTTATATAGCAACACAGGTTCTTAACACATTAATTGTGCTTGAGGATTACTATGAACTGCAAAAGTATCCATGGTCACAATTTCTCCACATTCTACTCCTAAAGCAATCATGTATATACATTATTTCCTAATACCTAGAAAGACAAAAGTCTTGAATAACTCTATTTTATCCCCTACTCTTGGGAGTCAATATTTTCCATTTTGCGGGGAAACGAATACTGGAATGGGAATGAAGAGACCCAGATTTCCAGATCTAGTGTTCCAAAGCCACACTCTCTTGGACCTCGGATCCTGAAATTAAAAAATTACCTTTTAAATTTCTGTTTCTCCCAGCTCTAAAATTCCATGATTTGAAAATAGTTACCTTCTGGGGTGGCTTTTAGTATTCTTTTTCTTCTTTCTGAAATCATATCCTAATCTATTTAATTAGACTTACCTAAATACTTCAAAAAGGTCACATCTAATCTGACTTGTCTGATGGATTTCAGATTAGCTTGTGAACACGTCTAAAAGCACTATAGAAATAGTACATAACTGAAGGAAATAAACTTTTATACTATATTCCATTAAACATTTCTCTTGGGAATAAAAAGTTTGATCATGTTATAATTTTTAATTTAAGAAGATCTTGGGTGTACTTAAAGAATTCAAAAACTATTACATAATTCTATTAGGTTCTTTAAACTTGAAATTCAATCTGAACACAATATTTTAATGTATCAAAAGTAGCTAATAAGTTAAATCCCACGCTTGACAAAGAGGGTTAAAAACAGAATGACATGAGAAGAAATGTATTTTTTGGGGGGGAGGCGGGGGGTGCTATTAGCTTTGCTGACCAAAACATTCTCAGGGAAATCACAACATTTATCAATTGCTACCAGTTGCCTTGAAGGAATGGCTACATATCAGAGCCAGCATAAATATGTCAAACAACTCTGAGAGGAACATTTTCTTGTCACTCCTAGAGCCCAAATTTCCGATGAAACAGAAGAAAATATCCACACAAATTTGAACACCACTAAAAGTCCCCCTTGCCCCAAAAACATAAAACCTCTAACCTGCTCGAGCATGTAAATGGCTATAATTTACATTTACTAGTTTGACTTTTCATACAGTGAAAAGGGCTTTATAAAGACCCAGTAAAGTCTTAATTAATATTTAAAGAATACATAAAAATTTGAGTTTTATGTATAAGCTATCTTAGACAAACATGATACAATTATGAGCAAAGATAGTGGCATTTCAACAGTTAAACCTCCCCACAAAGAAGAGGTATGTGCTTAAGAAAATAATGCACTTTAGTGTAATGAAAAGAAGTTTAATATACACAAATAAAATAGAAAAAATTTCTTACAGACTGGTTAGTGGAAAATATGCTACTTAAAAATTGCCTTTCAAACTTGAAAGACCTAGCTTGATTTTTTTACACTATCAAAAAAGAATGTTTTGCCACAAATGAATAATGGACAAAGCCCTAGGAGGCCACTGACACATTTACAGTTAGAAAATATCTAAAACCCATTTACAATTGGCTAAAAAAATAGCTAAAAGTAATTAGAACAATATTTATTTTAAAGTAAGAAAAAAGCTTATCTGGTTATAGTTGAGATTTTAATTGTCATACTTTCAGATTATGAGTGGGGGAGTTAAATGCTTGAAATATTTTACATTGTTTTAATAGTATGAAAAAAGGAAAGTGTGAGTACCTGTGGCTATGCTGTTATAATTCAGAGGAAACTGTCAAGTCACGCCCCTCACTCACAGCAATAAAATACACCAAAACAAACAAAAAGCAAACCAAATACACGTCCTCGGCTGACACAAACTTTAGAGTGTTTTCTCAGGGGTTTCCAAGGGGCTTCTGGTTAATGGTAACAATCAAGTGTAAACAAGACATCGGAAACAAAATATCTTTTTCACTGAATTAAAAAGCTGCTATTAATGTGATCTTATAAAACAATGGAATTTGTAAAACTCATTCAAAATTTAATCAAATATCTTTTTTTTTTTTTAAACCTCCTCGGTATAAAAGTTTACAGATGAGTTTCGTGTTCCATCACAGTTAAATGGTCCAGTGCATTTCAGAGTATATGGACATTATCAAAGCTGTCCTTTCCCAATGAAAACATTTAAGAAAACTTGAAGCAATTCTCAAACAAGTGACATGATATGAAACTACTTACACTTTTGGCTCTCACTTCTTTAAAGTACAAATGTGGTTATTATGCAAAGAACAACTGTGACTATTTACAGTGCCCAGCAACAAGAAGTTCTCCATCAGAGAGAGGCAGCTACAGTGTATTCTGAAGTATTTCCCAAGAGCGGGTTTAGTAGACAGAAAATACTTTGGGTCGTCTTCTGTTTCCTTCCCTTTGTTTTTGGTAAGGTAAGTTTTCCATTATGCACATACTTTACCATCCTTTTATCACCCTGCATTCAATTATGCTTGGCTGGGAAGAGCTTCGTATTTTTAGTGAGATCCCTGATGGCAACGGAGCTCCGAGATCATGCTGGTGCTTACGGTTAAATCACATCTAATGTGAAATTTCGAATAACATCCAGAGCTCCAGTATCAAAGCCACACATATCCAACATGCCCCTGTCATCCGGGTCTGCAATGGTAAAACCGTTTGATGTCATTCCACAAACAATCAGCTTAGCTGGAATATCCATTTTCTGTAGGAAAAGATCAAAATACATATTAAAAAAATTATACGTAAGCAAAAGCAAATAACCTCCAAAATTAAAACACTCAATTCTATCACAAGTTTTCATTACAAAGTCAATTTTTTTCCCTGCCCATAAAATTTGTCAATCTTTCAAGGGCCAGACTATATGATCTGAGAATAGAAAATAAAATTGTGTAAAGAACCTGCCTGAAATTCCTGCTTCTCTGGTTCTATATTCTTACTTGTTCTATGGGCCGCAGAATACATTCCTGAGCAGCCTAGGGACTCTGTACTCATGAAAGTTGTCAGGATATTCAGGGGCATCAGACATTTTTACCAACATATCAAACACTGGGACAGTGTGTGTGGGTATATATAAATATAACAAAATAGTTCCCTGGGATTATTAATTTTTGGTCTGTGACTCTGATATGTGTAACAGACACATGTCACATGCAGGAACTTGTTCTGTACAGCTATGATTTAAGGTTAAAATAATCGAGTTCTTGAGAAAAACCACCACTCACTCAGTGTGCACTATGTCGGACGCCATAATGAGCTCTTCAAGTAATTAATCCAATGCAATTGTTCTAACAACCCTAAAAGGCTCATAGTACTATTAACTACCATGACATCTATCAGTCACATAATGTGTTCAGGTCCACAGTTACTAAAAGAGAAAGACTCAGAGCTCAGAACCCAGAACCCACGCGGTCTTGACTCCAAATTCTATTCTCACTTGTTCTCAAACTTAAGCATACCTCAGCATCCCCAGAGGCGTTGGTTAAAACACAGTCCCACCCCCAGAGTTTCTGATTCAGCAGGTCTCCTGGGGGTCAAGTTCTATTTCTACTCCTAGTCACACTAGCCACAATTCAAGTGCTCAACAGCCCCACGTGACTAACGGCTACCATATTCGATGATGTGGATTTAGAACGTTTCCATCATTTCAGAAAGCTCAACTGGAGAGCACTGATTAAAACACAGAAACATCCATAAAACTTAAGACACAGATTATACAGCTCTGCTTTAATTTTATGTAGTCCTTTAACAGAACTCACAAATGATACTTTAATTTTTCAAGGAGCACACTGAATCATTAAAAAATTTACAGTTAAGGTAAAGTAAACATTTTGATTATTACCAAAAATACTGTTTGCAAAGGGTAGTCTTAGTAATGCATAGCATTGGAACTGGTTGAAATAAATTATCTATGTGTAGGCAATACTTTCTTCTTTCCACTACTGCTGAGTCCAGAACTGGAGCTGTATTCCTACGCAAAGGTACAGAACTACCTTCAGGAGCAGTTTTTTGGGAATACATAGTGAATGTTTGAGAATCGAGTCTTATTTCGGGGGAGAAAGAATATTAGAATTTGTTTTACCTTTCGATACTCCCTCAGAGCAACAGCAGGATGGACACCTCCAGCAAAGGTCTCATTATCCGTGAAGACAATGAAGACATCAGCAGCTGTATTTGTCTTTTGAGCCCAGATCATTGGAAGCGAGCAATCGGTTCCACCTGCTGGGATCTAAATCAGAAACATGAATACGAATAAAAGAAGTGCTCTACTTTCCATACTGAGATGTCGGAAATAATCAAAAACTTAAAAATACTACTTTTTACATTGTCATTTTGTTTAGAGCCAATATATAGGCCTTCCCAAAGCTCATACATATTTTTTTGATTTTGTGCTCATGAGAAAATTGAGATGAAACAATTTGTTCTCACAAATGTATTAATATCCAGCATGACACTGACATAAAATTATTATACATGTTAAGTAAACTTAATAAAACAATTTCATACCTGATTCATAACCATTAGAACCTGTTGCAAGGTCATATCTGCAGTCAATGGACATGGTACCATTTCATCGGAAAAAGCAACTACATAAAAATCTTTTTCTGTTCGTGTGACAACCTGAAAAATTCAACGGTAGTAATTTTCAGCAGATTGTGGGAAAATAAATACAATATCCTCAAGTTCATAAAACTTCATCTTGAAAGAAACACTCTATGATGCTTATTTTAATTCTAAACTTATTGTGTTTTGGAACTACACAGTAACAGGAGTATAGCTTTAAAAGTGCTTTCACAAACTTACAAAGACACTGGTTTCCACAACAATCCTTTGAAGCAAATAGAGTACATATTCTTCTCATCTTATTAAATAAAGAATAAAGCCACAGAAGAGGAGTGAAGCAGCTTGCCTAAGATTCATTTCTTGCCATTCAGTGACAGCGGCCAGAACCAAAGGTCCCTGACTATTGTTATTAGTTTCTGAGCTTTTAACTCCTATATTCATTAATAACTTCTCTAAGCATTATCTACTTCCTCAAAATACTATGAATACTTAATCTTTTGTTGTAAAATTAAAATTTCTATTCTGATTCTTCTTTAGACATGCTTTTTCAATATACCTACAATACTGAACAGACCCAAGTATATACAATTATATAATATACTTAAGTATATATACAATATACTTTAAACTTGGTTTATTTTTAATTATCTTTAGATACGAAAATGACATTTAAACGAAATGAAAATGTGCTAAATAAACTGAAATGACAAAAACAAGTGAAAATATAACTCTTGATGATATCTAACTTGATAATTTTGCCCCACAGTAAACATTTTGTGGGGTGGGAAACATTCTCAATTGTCTGAGGTGTCCTCACCATGCACATGGCTGCAGCCACCGTGCTGGCGTTGAGTATACTGCCCAAAACTCTTTGGTTCATAGAAGCACTGACATCAACAGCCAGCAAGAAACGCTTTCCAGTAGGCTCAACTGTCTAGAGAGAACACAAAATAAAACAATCATTAAAAGCAATCAGAGAAATTCTAAGTAGATTAAACTTCTAACAAATCATATTTACTTATCTTTCATTTGAAAGACTCTAAGATAAAAAGCCTGATTTTTTTTTTTAAGATTGGCACCTGGGCTAAGAACTGTTGCCAATCTTTTTTTTTTTCCTTTTCTTTTTTTTCTGCTTTATTTCCCAAACCCCCCCAGTACATAGTCGTATATTTTAGTTGCACATCCTTCTAGTTGTGGGATGTGGGACGCCGCCTCAACATGGCCTGACGAGCGGTGCCATGTCCGTGCCCAGGATCTGAACCCTGGGCCGCCGCAGCGGAGCGCGCAAACTTAACCACTCGGCCACGGAGCTGGCCCCAAAAGCCTGATTTTTGATTTATCAATTAATTGAAGTATTTAAAAATGCTTAGCTTTCACTAGAGGTAAAACAAAGTAAAATAGCTTAGTTGCTAATTTTATGTGAGGAAGTTACCATCTCCCTGCTTTTTAAATCTTTCCTCATGAAGTAAACAGGGAATTTCTAGCCACAAACTATTTTTGTGGCATTAAAATACAAATAACATAAAATTTACTTTTTAATAATTTTTAAGTGTATGATTCTGTGGCATTAAGTACACTCACAATGTTATATAACCACCACTATCTATTTCCAGAATTTTTTCATCATCCCCAATACAAACTCTGCACCCATTAATAATAATTTCTCATTCCCACCTCTCTCTAGCCTCTGGCAACTTCTATTTGACTTTCTGTCTCTGTGAATTTGCCTATCCTGGATACTTCATATAAGTGGAATTATATAATACTTGTCCTTTTGTGGCTTATTTCACTTGGCATAATGTTTTCAAGGTTCGTCCATGTTGTAGCCTATTTCAAATGCCTTTCCTTCATAAGGCTGAATACTCCATTGTATGTATATACCATAATTTGTTTATCCATCATCTGCTGATGAACACTTGGTGGTTTCTACCTTTGGCTAAGGTGACTAATCCTACAACCATTCATGTACAAGGATCTGTTTGAGTCCCTGTTTTCAACTCTTTTGTGTATACACACAGGTGGCGGAATTGCTAGATGGTATGGTAATCCTATGTTCAACTTTTTGAGGAACAACCGAACTGTTTTCCACAGGGACTGCACCGTTTTACATTCCTACCGGCAATACACTGAGTATCAATTTCTCAAGATCCTTCCCAACACTTGTTATTTCTGCTTTTTGATAAGAGCCATCCAACTATGTGTGAAGTGTTGTCTCACTGTGGCTTTGATTTGCATTTCCCTGATGACTAATATGTTGAGCATCTTTTCATGGGCTTTTGGCCATTTGTATATCTTCTTTGGAGAAATGTCGATTCAAGTACTTTGCCCATTTTTGAATTGGGTTGTTTGTATTTTTACTGTTGAATAGTAGAAGTTGTTAATACATATGTTCTGGACATTAAACTCCTATCAAATATATCATCTGCAAATATTTTCTCCTATTCTTTAGGTTATCTTTTCACTTTCTTGAGTGTCCTTTGATGCACAGAAGATTTAAATTTTGATAAAGTCCAATTTACCTACTTTTTCTTTTGTTGCCTGTGCTTTTGGTGTCATATTTAAGAATCTATTGCACAGGGCGGCCCCCGTGGCCGAGTGGTTAAGTTTGCGCCCTCTGCTTTGGTGGCCCAGGGTTTTGCTAGTTCGAATCCTGGGCGTGGGCACGGCACTGCTCATCAAGCCATGTGGAGGCGGAGTCCCACATGCCACAACTAGAAGGATCCACAGCTAAAAATACACAACTATGTACCCGGGTGGCTTTGGGAAGAAAAAGGAATAATAAAAATAAATAAATAAATAAATAAAACTTGTCAAAATGATCTAAGGATAACTGGTTGTTGCCCACAGGTAGAAAGAAATACTTTACTCATAAACTTATAATGTTAAGTATATACCCACCTTCACATGAATTAAGGAAAAACAAATGAATATCTAATCAAAAATGGGTAAACTATTAATATTATCTTTAAAATACGTTTTTACAAAAGATATTAAACCCTAATTGGGTCATTTATTTTAAAACAAAAGTCAAACCATTACCTTAAAGGTTTTGTAAAAAGCGACATCCAAAGCTTTCAGAATGTCTTCATCAGGGCGCCACTTCAGTTTTCCTCTGAGCCCGTGACCTGTTTTATAAGTTTCTAATGCAATCAGAACATGAAATGGATGTATACGAGCCTAGAAACAAGATAAAGACAGAAAGGAAATGCAAAATTGAAACGAAAAATCGTAATTACATGTCAGATTTTTGTTATTATAGCTAATAAATATTATTTAATAAAGAAAAAAACGAGGGTATATTAATCTTAGATTTTAGAGTCAAAATGCAATTTGGTACGATAAAAGTCTCAGAATACCTAAAAAATGTGCTGCCTGTACTTCTAAAATTTAGGCGCCAACTTCTTCCAATAGTAGTAACTAACGAAGGTAATGCTTACCTTTTTTAACAGTTTTTCGTTACACAGTTTTTCACATACTAAAGATACTTCTGAATTTCCTGGTTCAAGCACTGAGTTGGCAGTCATCTTTCCTAGGTTTCTGAGTAATGCAGTGAGAGGCATTTCTTGTAACAAAGCTTTCCAGATCTATTGCAAAAACGTAGGTAGACACATAAGGAATTAAGAGGAAATGAATCAGTACAACATAGCTACATCAATAATAATATTAATGATGTGTTCTCTAAGGCTTTCTTTTGGGGTTCACAGCACTCTCTAAACGAAAATTTGTGTGAACTGGTCAAAGGCTTATCAACTAAACTAACTTGCTCTTTATCAGAGTAAGAAAGTGAAATGTATTTTATGAAGGAATTCCACAAAAGAATTTTACTTATTTATTTTTAATTAGCAAGTCAAATTAACCAGCATATTTTGTGGTGTGGAACTAACACTTATTGAATGACAACTACATCTGGGCACAGTGTTAGGTGGTGTTCTAAATAAACATTAATTTCAAGATATATTTTAATTTTTCTTACAAAGTATTAATGAATATATAGTTATCCAAATATATAGTTATCCTTTGAACACATAAATTATTCGTTTCAACACACGCTGTAACATATTATAATTTACTTACCTCTTTAGACTTTAAGTGATTTGTCAGAAGATGTTCCCTAACTAATCTATGCTCTTCTATTAGATGGATGACTTCCAGTTCATCTTTTGTGTGCTTCACTCTCTCCACAGCCTCCAGATACTTTAATAACTTTTCAGTCTCCACAGAAAGTGCTTTTTCTTTATACAATTCATGGACCTCTTTCCAGCCCTTTGTAATATATTTGGTCACAATAGCAAGTCCTTTAACAAAATAAAGAATGGAAAAGGCATGTGGGATTACTAGGTAAAAGATAGAACACGTTGACATTATGTGATAGGCCTAACTAGATACACAGGAGTTCATTTCTTTGAACCGCAATGCTGGTTTCACTGCTATAACATATTTAAGGGAATGGAGTCAACTAATTTTGCTTATTCCATCACAACTGTTTCAATATGAGACTTTGGAGAAAAAACTCCTATATCCTAAGTCATTTTTGTACAGAGCTTCTTCGTTTTTGAGACACTAGCATTAGAAACTTTGTAGACAGTGCCTAAATCAGGTCCACAGTCTCAGAACAATTCACAGAAGTGCAGACTATCTCGGTTCATCTCACGTTCACTTGTCCCTTTCAGCTGCTCAATACGCAGTTATGAATAGCAGAGATAAGTGCAAGCGGACGGGTAGGTAGGTAATTTGTAATTTTTTTTAATAACTGAGAAAGTATTACAGGCCTAATTTAAAAGAAGAAACACAATGAGTGCATTTCTTCTACAATTTCTTTTAACAGGTGAAAGACCTTTGGATTAGGGTTGAGGAAGTTTGGGCTATAGCCCACACTCTGCCAATAAATGGCTGTGTCACCGCTCCAGGCCGTAGCTTCCACTTTTGTAAATCAGGGAGTGAGAGGGGGAACTGAGTTATCACTTTCAAAGGTCTATGGGGGAAAGGTGGGTAAAAGAAGTAAATGCAACAGGCCACGTGATACAACAGAGAGTGTGGGACTGCAGTGAACTAAAGACAGTGTGCCCTGACAAACGTTTTAGTGAAGTATTGGCTTAGTGTTGCCAAAAAAATGTATTTTCAAAAGAAGCCAGAATATGGATTTTTATGTGATGTCTTATAATTGTTTTTTTATGCGATGTTGGCAAAGAATTCATTTTTTTCTAAAATATTGTGCAGGCCAATATATCTCTAAGGCAGACTAAGCCTATGTGCTATTTCTGAACTCTAATGTAGATAATTTGATCAAAAGTTAATACTAGGGGCTGGCCCCGTGGCAGAGTGGTTAAGTCCACGTGCTCTGCTTCAATAGCCGAGGTTTCACCAGTTCGGATCCTGGGCGTGGACATGGCACTGCTCATCAGGCCATGCTGAGGCGGCATCCCACATAGCACAACCAGAGGCATTCACAACTAGAATACACACTATGTAACGGGGGGCTTTGGGGAGAAAAAGGAAAAGAAAAAGATTGGCTCAGGTGCCCATCTTTAAAACGAAAAAAAAAGTTAATACTAATATGCAGGAACTTCTAAAGCATTGTGACTTGCTATCTTCCAGACTTTAGTACAAAATCTTACATTGTCTTACATGATTAAATGTTTCATGTGAGCATGTCTTCTATTTTGTCCTTCCAATTAAAATAAAATTTCCTTGAAGGAAAAAATCTTCTTATTATTTTTCTCCTACCAAAGTTCTAGAATTGTGCTGGCCACACAGTATGTACACAATAAATACCTGATTACTTGAATCACATTTTGACTTGTTTTATCTGTTTTAAATACACTTTTCAGTTAAGGTATTAAAATATTACTTATCAGTAGCTTAGTTTGTTTCCAAATTCTTTTCACTCTGAGAAGCCTGGGGATCTTTTATGCCTAAACATATTGCTATTATTACAAGGCTTCAAGGATGAATTCTGCCCTCAAAAATTTAGAATTAAATGTGGGAGTAAGCTTAGGGAATATTTATTAATTCCTCATTTGACAAACCAAGAATTAAAAACCCAGAATAGCTGTTTGTACAAATTCAGAAACTAATTTTTCTGATTAGAACTAGCACGTAGGTCCACACCGCCACGTAGTGTCTCAATAGAGAAAGCTGGATCCCTCTCTTCTTCTCTTACTGGACCAAAGATTTAAAAGTAAAAAAATTAAACCATGACTATGTTAGGGAAAAAGCACAGGTAAGTCTTTTTATGTCTTTAGGTTGGAAAAGGCCTTTCTAAACCAAATACAAAACAAAAACCTATGAAGAAAGACATGGAGAGATTTGATTTCATTAAAATTCCAAACTTTGGTGTGCCAGAAACAATCCCCCCATCAAAAAAATTCAAAGACGAAGAAAAAGTGGGGAAAAATGCACACAATGTATATAAAATAATTAATTCCTATACTGTGTGTCCCATGTTTAAGAACAGTGCCCATCCATAGTAGGTGATAAGTTTTTTTTTTTTTTAAGGAAGATGACCTCTAACATCTGCTGCCAATCCTCCTCTTTTTGCTGAGGAAGACTGGCCCTGAGCTAACATCGGTGCCCATCTTCCTCTACTTTATACGTAGGACACCTGCCACTGCATGGCTTGCCAAGCGGTGCCATGTCCGCACCCAGGGTCTGAACCAGTGAACCCCGGGCCGCTGAAGCAGAACTTGTGCACTTAACCACTGCACCACCGGGCTGGCCTCCGCAAGTCCCCAATTTAAATGATTCCTGACCAAAAGCTTTTCTTACTTCCCTTATGAAAAGGACCAAGCGATTATTGTAGATCCAACTAACTTCTCAGAAGCCTCTTCCCATAGACACAGAAAAACTGCCCCACGTTACCAGGTGCCCTGGCTGACTGCGTGGAGACAAGAAACGTCCTGAATTGTTAAGTTCAGCGCTATTTCAGGCAGCCTTTGGGTTCCATGGAACATATGTCCTAGGGAGACAGGGAGGGAGACAAATGGTAAGGGGCTAGAGTGCAGCCTGGCTATTCGCCATCGACTGGCAGGAGCTGTCCTGCTTACTACACCTTTAGTCACGTCCATGCTGCTTTCACAGTCCAGAATCATCTGGGTGAGCACTCTAGCTAGCAGGGTGACATTTTAAGATTTAGGATATTAACCTGTAGATCTGGCATTTGATTCTTGACTATTAATTTCTGGATTGCCTGTGATAGGTGTTTAATTCCAGGTTGGCATTCAACATATTTGAATTAGCCCATCAGTGTGTTCTGAGAATGAAAGAATATTTCTAGAAAATATCACATAACTGTCTTATGTCAAAGGAAAATCTGCTATTTATCGGGTATCTGCGCACCCCGCTCCCCCAGCCCCTGTCCCGACAAAGATCTTATCCTTACCTTCACTGGAAGGCTTAAGATGCGACAACCTTAATAGGTCTTTGTGAGACCAGCCATTTCTTTGTTTATATTTCGTAACAGCCAGGGCGAGGGCCATGCCCCCTTTTTCATTGTACCAGTCTGCTATAGCCTTCCGGAGGGCACGACCCCACATGCCACATTTCATGCTTGCCTTCAGATCTTTCTTAAACTGGATGAAAGTAAAGAGATGTGTAGGAATGCGACAAACTTCAGAGACAGCTTTAAATGCTGCTTGTTTCGTGCTGATGTCAGAACACTGGGAGCAAATGGCAAGCGCAAAGAGCACAGGCTCTTGCTTGGCGGTTCTGCCTTCTTGACTGAACGCCTTTATCTCCTGTATCACTTCACAGCCTCTGCCATCTTCAATCAGTCTAATTAAAGCCTCGGCGTTTTCCAGGCCCAGCTTCTCTTCTTTGATATAGTAAGTCCCACCTTCAGAACCAAAACATAAGAACCGGTGGAGTCGATTCAGATCGGTGACTTGCCATACGTATCCATCTTCAGAATTGGCTATCTGCTTCTCATTCAACGGTTGCTTTTGGTGTACTGATTCCTCCATTTTTCTGTCTTTTAGGAAACCTACCAAAAAGCAAAATGTTATTGCAGCTAGACAGAAATAGTAAAATTGGTAAAAGGAAAATATTTATTAATCTATGCTTATTAAAATCTGCCATAAAATCTTTTAATTTAAAATATGTTTTAAGCTCACTAAGTGGTGGTATGATAATGAGAAGCAACAAATAAGAAGGCAGGGTTTTTTGGGCCAGCCCCATGGCCTAGTGGTTAAGTTCAGAGGCCTCTGCTTCCGTGGCCCAGGTTTGGTTCCCGGGCCCGGACAGATACTGCTCGTTGGCGGCCAGAGCAGCTGCCACCCACATAGAAAGCAGAGGAAGACTGGCACAGATATTAGCTCTGGGTGAATCTTCCTCAGAAAAAAAAAAGGGCACAGTTTTGAGTTATAGTTTGTTGGTTCAAAGACTAAGCAGGCAGCTGAACATGGGGTGTGGAGGCCCAGACAGAGGAAAATAAAAGGCGGAGGGAGGAAAGCAACACTTAGAAAGATCTTATTCCCTTTACTCCCTGAGTAACTGTGTAGACATTTTTGGGTTGTGCATCCAACATCCATTCTTTTTTTTGTGAGGAAGATTGGCTCTGAGCTAACATTTGTTGCCAATCTTCCTCTTTTTGCTTGAGTAAGATTGTCACTGAGCTAACATCTGTGCCAATCCTCCTCTATTTTATGCGGGCTGCTGCCACAGCATGGCTTGACATGCAGTGCTAGGTCCATGCCCGGGATCCGAACTTGTGAACCCCAGGCTGCTGAAGCACAGCACGTGAACTTAACCACTACGCCATGCGGCCGGCCCATCTAAAGTCCATTCCTCCCCTCTCCCTTCTCTCTTATCCTCTTCCTGGCGTTACGTCCTTTAAGGGAGGCCAGGACATTCCCCAGTCCCAAGGGATGAATCATGATTACTCTGAGCCAGTGTTCTCAAACTGTGTGCATCAAAATTACTTGAAGCGCTAGTTAAAACACAGAATGGTGGGTCCCATTCACTCCCCAAGTTTCTTTCTTAGTTCAGTATGTGTGGGGTGGGGCCTAAGCATCTGCACTTATCACAAGTTCCCAGGTGATGCTTTCACTCCTCTTGCCACATGACTGGTATAGACACTGGGCATGTATCACAATTCTGGCCAGTGTGATGCTAAGTCTGCTGGAAATACTTCTGTTTTCTTCACTCTTAAAAAGGGCCTTGGGCTCTTAAAATTAATGTTCCCCTTTCTGCCTTGAGACATTTACAAGTGATGTCTGGAGTGGTGGTAGCTATCCTGAGCCATGAGGAGGCCAGTTTAAGAAGACACGTTAATTTATAAAGACGGCAGAACAGAAAAAAAAACAGAAGGAAGCTGGATCCTTGATATCATCAAGCTACCTGGAACTGCCTTATTTACAAATTTCCTAATATATCACAAATGTATCCTTATTGTTTAAGTCATTTATAAGTTTTCTGTTACGTGTAGTTGAGAGCATCCTAACTGATTAACATCCTATTAACTGTGCTCACTTACAGTTTATGTCATCTGTAACTACCCACACTTTCCTCCTTCCACTCTCCAAAGCTACTAGAACTAGCTGTCTAGATAGAACTAGGGATAGCGTCTCTCCTAGAAAGGGACAGAAACAATACCCCTTTCTATCCTCCTAATGGAGCAACCGTCCACCACCTCATCAGTCCACCGCTACTCTTACTACAGTATAGCTGTTAACCCAGGTGCCACAAGCTTCCTGCCTACACCTTATAGTGCACTGGGCTTCTCCCCATGGCCAACAAAACAAGAGTACAACCAATAAGACACCTCAAACAGCGTTTACCATATACTATGTGTAAGATAAGACGGAGGTTTCTGTTCCACTAAAAAGATCAAAAAAAAATTTTTCCCCGCCCTCAGGGAAATCACTTTCTATTTGGTGAGGGAGAAATATATACACAACACAAAGCAAACAGTAATTAAGTGTTCTAACAGAAAAGCACTGAGTGAGCAGAGGAGGATGAAATACTGCTGTCTCATAATCTAGCAAGACTGCACAGAGAAGGCAAACCGGAAGACCGGTATATAAAGCTTGGGGGAAGCCATTCCAGAAAGGGGCTTCTGAAATCTTGCTCTGTGTCTTCAGATTTTAGAAAAGGAACTGTCTAAATATACTGGCACAGTTTCAAGAAATGTTGACAGGTAAGGTAGTAGCTTAAAGGGCAACACGAGGTACAAGAAATTTTATTTTGAAGATGATACAAGCTTGGACATGTTTATTGTGGGGCAGGCTAAGGATGACAAGCTGGTGAATATTAACAGGTAAGAGCTAGGGAGAAAGGGGCCTGTTGAGAGGAGAAAGAGAAGGAGGGGCACACAGACTTACAGGAAACTAGGGAGGAGTGGTATCATGGACCACGGGAGACAGAACTTCAAGGAGTGAATGGCTGGTGACGTCAAATGCTCAGAGAGCAAGTAAAATAAGGCTGGAAAATGAGCACTGATTGAGCAAACAGGCATGAAGGGGAAACTCAACGGCAGCAGAGTGCTGTAAGAAACAGCCTGATTACAGGCAGAGGAGGAGGGCAGGCAGCCAAGAGGAGACTTCCCAGGCAGACTACTCTGCAAGTTACAAAGAGAAGGTAAGAGAGAGCGCGGGAGCTGGAGGATGAATCTTTCTACCTTTTTAGATGAGAGGACATTGAAACACTCAATTTGGAGAGCAGAGGACAGTAGAGAAAGGGCAGGGCGTGCCTGAAGAAACAGGATTCCTGAAGGCAGGGGACAGAATGAGCGGGAGGGCACCCTTGTTCCGACTGGCCCACAGAGCAACCTCCTTCACTAAGCGGGGAGAGACATAAGGAAACCGAGGGAGTTCCCTAGGTGAGGCAGTGTGGTAGGTAAGGGAGCAAGGAAAGACTGGGTCTCAGAGAGGGGAACACATACCGGTGTGGGGAAAAGCGCATGGGAGAATGCCCAGCCTCACACTGTGACCCTGACTGAGGGGACAGGGATTAGAATCATGTTGGAAACATCAGCATCAATCTTCCAAACAAAGCTCTGGTATAAAGTGGCTTATGTTGGTGCAGGCCTAGGCTCTGTGGTGCCAGAGACGCCGCGATCATTTCCATTAGTCATCAGGGACTGATTCACAGTCACTGCGTGCAGCACAGGCCGAAACTCCTGGCACCGTGGATGTGGCTGCTTCTCCTATTCGCTCTCACCCCCTCTTCAACTGGGCTTTGACCTCTGCCTTTCGATCCAAAAGACTCTGAGAAGGTTAACACGCTTCTCAAAGACTGATACCTTAATTGCTAATTCCAGTAGAAAATTTTCTATTATCTTGATCTTTACATTGCATTTGACATTGCTAGCTTCTCATTGAGCTTTCACAAAAACGCTCTGGTGGTACTTCAACCTGCCTATTCCTGCTTATTAGTTACCTTTGTTAGATGCATACCGTTGCAAGGACATTCACTATCAGATTTCTCTACACCAGCTTTACCACACAAGGCCCACCTGGTGAGACTCAAAGGTCCCAACACAAACCGCAGCATCCTCCCCCTCCTAATTCTTTCCCTGTATCCTTCTTTGTGAGCACATCCAGCTACCATCATTAGTTCCCTTCAGAGCAGGGACCAGGTCTTATTTGTGTATCCCTCCCCTGAACACCACTTTTAAGCAATTAGTAAGACGCACTTAAGGATAACTACGCAGCAAGGAAGTTGATTTTCTGAACCATTTGTCTAAGAACTATGCATGATTGGTTTTTCTTTCCTGTAAGATGTATTTTGAAAATAAGTCTCAATGTGTGCAATTAAAAATGTAATTCAAGCCTTTGAGATAAATCCTGTAATCAGAATAAAATAATAAATGTATTAACTGTAGGTGATGGAAACACAATCAAAAATAAAGCATGAAAAAGTTATAAAGAGAAAGTAATGAATACTGAGTAAAAATGACATCTGAGAACAGTATTTCTCTGTAAGTTTAATATTAGGTACTCAAGCATCTTTTGTAGAGCAAGCAGCAAAATGAACTTTTACATCTATAGAGGATGCCTAAGACAGAAATCCCTAAACGTGACCCTGTAACCCCTAGTATAAGAAAGGAAGTCAGTTATTTATCCATAGTTGTAGCAATGGAATTTTTCCTTTGCACATTATATTAATGACAACCATGAGGACAAACCCTTTTAATATTTCTGCAGGAGAAACTGCTCAGCTTTTCCTACGCTTCTGTGATCACACTTTCCAGGGTACAACCTAAAGCAGGGGAACAGATCACATCACTAACAGCTACAGTAGCTCTCTACTTGCTTGTGTATATTTACCAGTCAAGTTTTTAAGGTGAAATACGACAAACAGAATGGCAGCATGTTTCAAGCTGGTCTCCTTGGCACTGAGTGCTGCTATATAAATTAACTTTAAAGTGGCTAGATGGTAAGACACAGACGTATAATAAAGAATATCTGGTCTTTGTCCCTGGTTCTTGGCAGAGCTTCAAAAACCCTTAGAATTTCCTGATTGACAGGAGTGTCTTTGTTATGTTAATGAGGTAACTAGCTCCGGTAGCCTCAGGATGGGGCTGGTCACCAGAAAGACCAATCCTTTGATGAGAGGGTTGGAACTCAGGCCGATCAATCTCCCTAAGAGGGGAGGAGGGCCTGAGATTAAGCTCAACTAAGCAGTCAATGATTTAATCAATCATGCCCAGTAATGAAACTCTATATACAAACTCTGGACTTAGCGGAGATTCCCAGTTAGTGAACAAATTAATGTGCTGGGAGGGTGACATGCCAGGATTCCAAAGACCAAATCCCACCCGTGCCTCTAGACTTTGGCCTATGTATGTCTTCCATTTGGCTGTTCTTGAGTTGTATTCTTTATAATAAAACTGTGATCATAAAGGATAGTGCTTTTACTGAGTTATGAGTCATTCCAGCGAATTATTGACCCCGAGGGGGTTGTGGGAGGCCCTGAATTTGTAGCTGGCCAGGCAGAAGTGTGGGGAGACTGGGGACCCTACTTGCAGCTGGTGTCTGAAGTAACGGCAGTCTTGCTGGGGATCTTGCCCTTTAACTTGGGGGATCTGATGCAAACTCCAGAATTGAACTGAACGGTAGGACACTGACTTGGTGTCAGAGAGTTGGTCTCAAAACACAGACACCAAAGGCATAAGTAACAAAAGAAAAAACAGATAAACTGGACTTGATCAAAATCTAAAACTGGTGTTTCAAAGGACAGCACCAAGAAAGTGAAAAGATGTCCCATGGAATGGAAGAAAATATATGTAAACCATACATATGATAAGGAACTTGTATCTAGAATAAAGAACTCATAATGCAATAATAAAATGATGAATAACCCAATTTAAAAACAAAGGATCTGAATAGGCATTTCTTCGATGAAGATCTACAAATGGACAATAAATACATAAAAACATGCTGAATATCATTAGTCATCAGGGAAATGCAAACCAAAATTGCCATGAGACACCACTTCACATTCACTAGGATGGCTATAATCAAAATCACAATAATAAGCGTAGGTGAGGATTTGGAGAAACGAGAACTAGCATACACTGCTAAGTGGGAATGAATGTAAAATGACGGATCATATGCTAACTCTCTAACCTTTAGAGAAGCTGCCAGGCTGTTTTCCAAAGTGGTAAGGGGTTTCTCCTGGGGGTGATGAAAATGTTCTGAAATTAGATAGTGGTGATGGTTACACAACTCTGTGAATATCTAAAATCCAATGAAGGGGCCAGCCCCGTGGCCAAGTGGTTAAGTTTGTGCACTCCGCCTCGGTGGCCCAGGGTTTCCCCGGTTCAAATCCTGGGCACAGACATGGCACTGCTCATCAGGCCACGCTGAGGTGGTGTCCCTCATGCCACAACTAGAAGGAAACACAACTAAAAATACACAACTAGGTACCAGGGGGCTTTGGGGAGAAAAAGGAAAAGTAAAATCTTTAAAACAAAACAAAACAAGAACAAAAAAACCCCACTGAATTAACTACTTCAAAAAAGTGAATTTCATGATATGTGATTCATGAAATCTCAAACATCTGTTAAAAAATGAAAATTAAAAATTGGCTAGATAAAATATATTTGGGAAGTTATTTAAATAAGTAAGCATTTAAATGGTATGTAACCCTACTTTTTAAAATATTTGTCTTTAGAAGGCAATTTGAGGGGCCAGTCCTGTGGCTGAGTGGTTAAGTACACACGGTCGGCTTTGGTGGCCCAGGGTTTTGCAGGTTCGGATCCTGGGCGCGGACATGGCACCGCTCATCTAAGCCATGGTGAGGTGGCGTCCCACATGCCACAACCAGAGGGACCTACAACTAGAATATACAACTATGCACTGCGGGGCTTTAGGGAGAAGAAGGAAAAAAAAGAAGATTGGCAACAGATGTTAGCTCAGGCACCAATCTTGAAAGAAAAAAAAAGCAATTAGAGAAACACACAGACATACAGTTAGTTACTTGTTTCCCCCCAACTGTCATCATTTCCCTCTTGAAAACTTAGCTTCATTGTCAGTGGGTTAGAAGGCAGTGGGGCAGTGAGCGAGGTCAGAGCCTGGCCATCAGTTAATCCACTCTGGAATAATCAAGTGTTGTAAATCCAGATTAACAAATAAAAGATAGTTAATTCTTCCTTGGGTTGGCCTGACCTACCCAGCGCTCTTAAAGCACACCGTTCCAAAGAATCTAATACTGCTAAAGTTGTATTAAACTTCCATAAATTAAAATTTGGGGAAGAAATGAAATAGATCACAGTATTATCAAAAGCATGGCTGCCACTTGAAATTGGTTGTGGATGTTCTATACATTGCTCACTTCTCTCTTAATTTTGAATGCAAAATCAGCGAATGCGAATAACACAATACGTAATAGCACTTCTTTCTGCTTCGCATTCATTAGAACATTTATGGTATCTTTTAACAGCACAAATAATGTTATTTCTAAAGATTCCTCCATTTTTCTTTTCTTTTTTTTTGAGGAAGATTAGCCCTGAGCTAACTACTGTCAATCCTCTTTTTGCTGAGGAAGACTGGCCCTGAGCCAACATCCGTGTCCATCTTCCCCAACTTTATATGTGGGACACCTACCACAGCATGGCGTGCCAAGCAGTGCCATGTCTGCACCTAGAATCCAAACCGGTGAACCCCAGGCCACCAAGAAGTGGAACATGGGAACTTAACCGTTGCACCACCAGGCCGGCCTCTCCTCCATTTTTCTTGAAGGTACACATCTGACTATCTTTCCAAAGTCTCTTGATCATTTGTTAGCTGAAAATGCTATCTTTTATCCCAAGAGGTCAAAAAAGTTTGCAGCTTATTCCTTTTTAAATGAAGTCAAGGTGACTTACGTTTATGACAGAGTGCAAGACAGTTTTAAAACAATACTGCAAAGCCTGGGGCCACAAATTCAAATACCTGTATCATGCAGATTGGTAATGGACATGATGGATCAAGTCAAGTGTGATGCAATAAAAAGTGGTGAGGAACAGCGGCAAGCGCTGACAGCATACCATCCAGGAGGCATGCATCTTCAGCCAACTGGCTGCCAAGTGGGATGGGCCTCGGACTGCCAGATCCTCCCATTTTTCTCAAAGACCTAGAAATCTGGATTTTCATGTGAACTTTTAGGGTTAAATGTTAAGAACAGAATGAAAAAAATTTTAACCCCTCTTTCTGATTACTTCCAGTTTGGGTCAAGAGCTAAATTTTCAGTTTGGTTTTTCTACAACAGGCACCACGTTAAGTTGGGTATCAAATAAATATTAGTTTTGATGTATTATTTAGCACAGAAAACATTTTCAAGTCCACAGCAATATTACAGACTAAAAAATACCATAAACAGTTTGGGGCCCATTCTAGCTATGGTTCATAAGGAAACAAGGCTAGACCCCTGTGCCTCAGAAACTTTTCCATTTAAGTACCCTTAGAGGGCAGATACTGAACAGAAGCCCCCCAGCTTGAGTGCAGAGTCTCCTAGGGACAAACTTCAAGAAAGTTTCCCAATTTTTTTTTTATTGAGGTTATGACAGTTTACAACCTTGTGAAATTTCAGTTGTTCATTACTATCTGTCAGTCATATTATAGGGGCACCACTTCTCCCGTTGTGCCCAGTCCCCACGCCTCCTTTCCCCCGGTAACCACTAATCTGTTCTCTTTGTCCACGTCCCAAGTTTTTTTTTCAATCAAACACTTGACACAACTCTTGGCTTCCACTCCATAATACAGCCACGCTTGTTTTTACATAAAAGCTGTTCCGTTGTGGTTTCCTTCAGTAAAATTTGTTTACTTTGTGGCTTCACATAGTCGGTAACACAATGCTCCCTAACTCCAGGCCTCAAGCCACCTGTTTGAGAAACGAGGAACCAAAGTTTTACCCACTAAAGCATTTTTCTTCTGGAAGCCAAAGGCCCTTCTCGAAACTCAGCTTTAAGGAGCGATGCATCAATACATTCTTCAAAACTTTAATCTTACCACTAGCATTCCGCAGGGGCCTGCTGAATGCAGGCGATTTCGTGAAAATAGCTATTTTTGTTTTAACTCATCATTTAGTCTTAGAACCATCACAAATGTTTTAAAACTAATACACTATATCTTGTCAACCTCATGTTTCTTTGAGGCATGGCATCCCCTTCCACTTGTCCATCATCCCCACGGACTATGGGACGGATCTTTCGCCAATCCCTTGTCATTCCCTGTAGGATCGCCTTGTGGCTTCCCACAAAGATCCTGCCGCCCAAGCCTCAGATCCAGGGCGACGCCTCACGGCGCAGAAGCCGCGGGAGGAGGAGGAGGTGGAGGAGGAGGAAGGGGAGGGGTAAAGCGGGCACTCCGGACGCCGGCCTGGGCGAAACTATGCAAGTACCAGCAGGAGCTGTTCGGGAAGGGCCCACCCTCGGGAGCATCCGGGCCCAGCAGGGCGCGGATGTCCATGCAGCAATGGGCAGGGCACGGAGCGGAGCGCGGGGGACCGGAGGTCTGGCGAAGCGTCTGCTCCGGCCTGGAGCACTGAGATGCGGCGTGAGGGACACGGAGGCCCGCTCACAGCCCGCGCATCCCTGGGGCCGCTCAGACCGCACAAAGGGCCCCGGGCCGGCCTCCCGCCTTTCCTCACCTGCGCTCCGCCGCCGACCCTCCGAACCCGCGGCGCCCCCGGGAGAAGCCCTGCGCCGCGCGGGGGATCGACGACAGGCGGCGGCCTGATGGGCGGCGACCGCTCCAGCTCCACCGCCACCGCCGCCGGGGCCTCCAGGTCCGGCTCCCGGGAACGAGTCCCGCCCCTCTTCCGTCGCCCCGCCCCATTCCGTCGCCCCGCCCCCGCCCCAGATTGGCGAGGATCCCGGATGTTCCCTCCCCCGACGCTCTGAATTCCCGCCCCTTCCGAGTCGGCTACGGGTCCTGCGCAGCCCGGGAAGACTTTCGCTGTCTCCCGGGCGGCTAGAGCGTCCTCCCGCGCTCTGTGGCGCTGCAGGTGACGGCGCCCGGAGGCTGTCGGGAAGTAGGCGGGGTGACGTGGGGTGGACGAGCTCGGCGGCGGGTTCGCCGAGATCAGTGGCCGGCGGCAGCTGGTGCGGGGGGCGGCTGGCGCGAGAGGTGGAGCGGGGCGGCGTGTGGCGGGGCCATGACGGGCAATGCCGGGGAGTGGTGCCTCATGGAAAGCGACCCCGGGGTCTTCACCGAGCTCATTAAAGGATTCGGTGAGCGCCGAGGGGCCGTCCTGGGCCGGAGGGGTCACGGGAGGAGGCCCAAGCTGGGCACGGAGTGGTCCCCTGCGGCCACCGCCGACCCGGTCTGAAGGGAGGCGACTCCGGACAGCTGGAGTCGGGGAGGGAGGATGCGGGGCTCCCGCGCCTTCTTGGTCCCGGGCCGTCGCGTTTCCGCAGTGATGTTGAGGGAGAGCCACACCACGAGGGCAGGGACCGCGTCTGTCGGGTGTGCTGCCGCATCCTCGGGATTCGGCCGTCAATTACTTGCTTCATTGAGTGGAGCCTCCACCCTCCCCTGACCCCGTACGCGCGTTATCTTTCCCTTCCGACCGCCGGTTCTCTGCGGAGCGCTCCCCATCCCGGGCAGGTGTGCCCAGGTGCGTGGCTCGGCCATCAGTCCTGCCGGCACCGCCAGGGTGTGCCTTCTCGAGGATGGCGTGTCTCAAGGCCACGCCGCCCGGGAACCCGAGAGTCTGGTTATTCAAAGCAGGACATCTTGAGTGCGGAATAGCCCTGCGGGTGGCCACACGCGCTGATTGCGTGGGAGCCACGGGCCACTTGGCTAGTTCCGCCCCTTGCTCATTTTCAGCTTCCGGTGAAATGTGTTTTTTTGAGCTAGCGCTATGGACCAGAGGCCACATACTTGCCTCATAATTGCTTTTTGGCTGTATTCGTTGTGTTCCAGCCTAAGTAATCATCTTTCACTTTTTTTTTTTTTTTTTTTTTAAATATGGTGGATTTTTTTTTTTTTAAAGATTTTATTTTTTTCCTTTTTCTCCCCAAAGCCCCCCCGGTACATAGTTGTGTATTCTTCGCTGTGGGTTCTTCTAGTTGTGGCATGTGGGACGCTGCCTCAGCGTGGTCTGATGAGCAGTGCCATGTCCGCAGCCAGGATTCGAACTAACGAAACACTGGGCCGCCTACAGCAGAGCGCGCAAACTTAACCACTCGGCCACGGGGCCAGCCCCTCATCTTTCACTTTTTTTATCCTTTCCTGTCCCTCTTGTTCCCAGCCTCTTCTGTGGGCAGTAATTTTTTTCTCTGTTGTATTTCCTTAAGTGTTATTAATTCTAGAGATTGTCTTAAAACTTGTCCTCGGGGTGAAAATTAATCGTTGGTATAGATACTGTTTATTGTACATAGCTGAATATTTGGAATATCATTTATCAAGCAAGTATTGTTCACCTGCTATATCTCAGGCACACTGGTAGGGTTTGAAATTTTAATGTGAATAAAGCATGACTGCTGTTCTAAAGAACTGCCAATCAAACTATAATATGGTGTATTCTGGTTATGTTATATTATAATTATTACTGTGTTAGAGTATGTGCAAAGTGTTACAGGAACACAGGTCGTGGAAGAGCAGAGACAGAAGGAAAAACAAAAGTAGCAGTGATGTTAAAGTATAGCCAAGTGTCTGAAATGTAATGGAAGAGATTGGAGGAGTAGTTGAATCTGAGGCTGAAAAGATAAACTGAGGCCAGATTGTATGTCATGTTGTACAATTTGGATTGCTGTGTAGTCACGGGATTTAACTGTCAAAGATACTTGAATGCTGAAATGACATTTTTATGATTAAAAAAGGTTTTCTATGTGTAGTGTGCAGGGTGGATTGGAATGAAGTGAGAGAAGCTGGGAGTCTGTGAGCTGGTTGGCTTGACATGAAGTAGTGGGTTAGAGAGGAGGAGGTGGATTTCATAATTTTCCTGTATTTAAATCAGCTGGACCACTGACTGACTGGATGTAGGGAAAGAGGTGAAAATGACTCTATTTCTAGCTTGAGTGGCTTGTGAAGTACAAGAGAAGAATAGATTTGATGCACGACAAATTGGGTTCAGTTGTAGACATATGCTGTGTTTGACATGTCTGCAGATTTAGCTATAAAATTTACCTTCAAAGCCATAACTATTATGATGTATTAAAGTTAACTTTAAGAAATATTGTACTAGGCAAGTTTCTTTATTTTAAAATTAATCCTCTTCATTAACAGCTGTTGTTTCACTCTCATATGTGCAGAAAACTTGAAATTGGAAGTGATTTAAATAAAGTCATGTGTAAGAGAGTGATAGGTAAATCCACCTTCTGCACCTGCACGTATGAAAAGTGAGGCAATAGCTATTAATGGCTGGCTCCACCAGCAGAAGAACTTTGCAGGAAGTTTAGCTATGGTAGTTGTATATCGTTGTCAGATGCTTCAAAGAGAAAATAAGTTTATTGCAATTATTTCCAGGTTTTTTCCTCATCCAATTTATGGATTAAGAACCTTTTGGAAGTTCATTCTTTCAAAAATGAAACATCTTATTGTATTATGAATGCTATTGTAAATTTATTGTAGAAGTTTCTTCATCGGAGGGGAAATTATTTGTGGGTTCAGTGAATATATAAATACAAATTTTGTTGGACTATAACGTCATGGTAAAACAAAGTTAAATTAAGAAACTGATGGAGCAGAACTATACTTTTAATTGGTATAGTGCATGCATAATTCATAAATACACCGAAACAAACTGTGATAGTCTGCCAATTAAGAACAGAAGCTGTAAACTTTTGCTTCCAGCCAGGAAGGAGTAACAGGGACTGGATTTACTTTTCCTACAACAAATCAGTAATACCAGCGTTCACTTCAAGAAACTAGAAAAAGAAGAGCAAATTAAACCTAAAGGAAGGAAATGAAAGGAAATAATGAAGATGAGAGTTGAAGTTAGTGAAACAGAAAAGAGAAAAATAGTGAAGAAAATCAATGAAGCCAAAGCTGGTTTCTCAAAGACCAATAAAATGGATAAGCCTCTAGCCAGGCTGATAAAAAAAGAAGAGACACAAAAGACCACTATCAGGAATAAGAGAGACGTTGTCACTATAGATTTGACAGATATTCAAAGGATAATAAGGGAATAGGCTAAACATCTTTGTGCCAATAAATTTGATGACTTAGATGAAACGTACAACTTCCTTTAAAGATTCAAATTACCAAAGCTCAGTTAAGAAGAAATATAGATAACAAGGATAGCCTTAGATTTATTAAATTTTAATTTTAATTTAAAGTCTTCTCACAAAGAAAACTCTAGCCAAAGTGGCTTCACTGGTAAATTCTATCAGCTATTTAAGAAATTAATACCAGTTCTACACAAACTTTTCCAAAAAAATTGGAGAGGAAAGATTACTTCCCACACATTCTATGAGAGCCAGCGTTATCCTAACACCCAAACCAGATGAAGACCTTACAAGAAAAGGAACTACAGACCTATATCTGTCATCAAAATAGATGCAAAAATTCTAACCAAAATTTTAGCAAATCAAGTCCAATAATATGTTAAATGGACAATATATCATGATTGAGTCGGGTTTATTCCGGGAATTCAGGGTTGGTTCAGCATTTGAGATTCAGTGTAATTCACCGTATTAACAAAAAAACCGTTAAACAAGAAAAACCATACGATTATCCCAGTAGTTACAAAAAGCACTTGACAAAATCCAGCGTCTGTTAAAAATTATGAAGTGTTAGATTTTTCTCTGCTTGCCAGCTAAGAAGTTAGCCTGTGTTATAGATGCTGGTGGACAACTTTTATGTTAGAGATAAAGGACTGTATTACTCACGGCACCATAGGCAGCAGGAGATTCATGTTTGCATTGGTTCTCTTGTCCTCTGAGTCCGTGGGAGTGGAGGTGGACCCAGGTGGATGCTGCATACATGAGTCTGTGTCAAAGCTGAGGAGCTCTGAACTTACGGAACTCCCAGTTTTATACAGAGATTGCTAGCAAACCTCAATCTTTGGCTCTAGAGAGATACTGTTATGGCCAGCAAATAAGTCTTCCCTCTACCCCAGAGGGAGACACCATCTCTTATCTTTCAAGTCTGTTTACTATACTAACATCCTAGAAAAGACAGTCCAGAGCAAATCTGCTAGTTCCTCTCAGAAGATAAGCAGAAACAGGAGAAATTTATTGAAAATTATCTTCTGATAAAAATCCATCCTTTCCACAAAAATATGCCTTTTCCTCAGCTATTCTAATTAATCTGACCTGACCCACAGGGCTGGTACCAAATCTGTCTAATTTATCTCTTGTCGTGTTGACATTACAAAGCCAGGTAGCTTTCTCCTTAGGTTTTTGTGTTGACCTTTCTTGGCTTAAGGCATTAACCCAGGTACAGCGGGGTGTGAGTGATTGCTCGGACTCCACCTGGGCCTGCAAGGGGGAAGTCTTGCAGAATTCCGACATCCACAACAACTCTGGCCCATGAGTTGAGGCAGCTCTGAGTGACTGTTGGGGCCAATGTGGTGTTTCTTTAACATGAAGATCTGTTGTGACTGCTCCTAAGGTGCATGTCACCTTGTTTTGAGGAGAGGCAAATTAATGCCTGGCTTTCACACAAGAAATAAAAGTATAGTTATGATGGTGCACATGGCACCCCCAGAAGCAAGTGTTGCTTATAATTGCTGGGGCCCCCAAAATGAGACTCATTAGGGGTACAAGTTAACAATGCCTCCAACTTAGGGCTCTCTGTTCATTTCAAATAATTGAGTCTAGTCCTTGTGTTTGGAGAGATTGCCTAAGGGCTGAGAACCCAGTTTTTCCTGTATGGTCACATCACCAGCTAAGTGTCATTTGTCCATGCCATGGAATGACTGAGAATGGGGTTGGGTAAGATATCTGGGGCCATTTTGTGGGAAATGCAGAAGCTGGGGCCATGCCTGTTGCTACTTCTGGTAGATTTGTTGGCAAGGTTAGGGAAATGACAATCGAATTGTCATCAGAACTGTTGGAAGATAGCATACCTAGTGAACAATGAAATTTAAGGCACTGCCAACAGTTTGAGAGAGCCCCACCAGGATATTTTTCTTGAGGAGAAAGACTTTAGGTAGATTATTTAAAAAATTATTTTTGAAATTAGTTTTTGAAGAGAACTATCTTATACAGCCACCAGTAATCATAATACAAATGTGTTAGTCGTTACGTAAATATTTCAAAACACATCTTAATTTTAGGACTCCCTTTCACTTTGGAACAGTGTTCTGGTTGGGACGACAAATTATATGGTCATCCTATGTAAGACCCAGTTCAACCAGCCATGACAGTTTTTCTCATCAGCAAAGGTAGTAATGATCTCTTCTATCTCAACTTGCAGAATGCTTTCCCATGTACCTTTCATATGCAGATTATGATGCTGCAGTGTCTGTGAGTTGTATGTGTGCTTGTTTTCTACTAGATTGTGAAGTTAAGTATTATGACAATAGTGTATTATTTTCTGACCTTGCCAGAGCCTAGTATTATGCTTGGCACATAAAGGTATTTGTTAAATTCTGACTTTTCGTAACTTTTTAAAGCCTCCTCCCACCCAACTTTTTGCTTAATATGTACTGGGGGGGTCTGCATTAAGTGATTCTTTGTGTTTAGTGTTTGATAACTTGGACATCACAAGAACTGTGTGGATTGGATGAAGCGGGTTTTATATGTGAGGAACGTCAGGCTCAGAGACATTATGTTCTTGCTCAAGGTTAAGAACTTGAAGGCAATGCTGGGAGTAGAACCCAGGTCTCTTGACTCATTGCTGATTTGTCTTTCCATTATACCATGCATTATTTGAAATTTGACGTACATAAGGGGATTATTAGATATTGATGTAGCTAAGGAGATAGATGCTAACAGTTGAGTACTATGGTTTCCTTACACTAAGAGATGTGTATGTGTTAAACTTAAGGTTATTTAAGTGGTGTCACCTCTTGAAATTCCACCTGTGCAAAAGATTTTGGGGCAGTTTTATTCAGTGGGTTTTTGTTGTTGTTTTGTTATGATATGTACAATGTTTTGTTTGTTTCTTTTTTTAAAGATTTTATTTTTCCTTTTTCTCCCCAAAGCCCCCTGGTACATAGTTGTGTACTTCTAGTTGTGAGTCTTTCCAGCTGTGGCGTGTGGGACGCCTCCCCAGCATGGCTCGATGAACGGTGCCATGTCCGCGCCCAGGATTCGAACTGGGAAAACCCTGGGCCGTCAAAGCGGAGCGCGCGAACTTAACCACTCAGCCAGGGGGCCGGCCCCTGTACAATGTTTTCATATTTGGCCTTTTTACAGTTGATTTCCCAATAGCAGTAACCAGTGTTAACAATTGCATTAGTGTCCTTTCATGCCCTTTTCGACACTCACATAAATATAGGTTCACATTTGTAAGGTTTTTTTCTTCACCTTACTAAATGTGAATGTCTAGCAAGCTGTTGAGTCATGTAGTGGTGTGAATGCCCAAAGTTACATAGTTGGTTGACCCAACTATTTTTTAAACCATTGATTTATGCAGGTGGTCTAAAGCTTCTGTAGATCTCACTTGAAAATCTGGAATATTAGAAAGTGCCCAGACTTTGGAACCAGATGTGGGTTTTAAGTAGCTTTTTGACATACACTAGCTGTAGTGAATTTAGGCAAGCGACTTAACATCTCTAAACCTCTTCCATATAACACTTGTCTTGCCGGCATTAGAGAAAATGCGTTTAAAGCACATTACTTATAGAAGGCACTGGTAAATATGGCTGTTTTGTGTGTTGTGATAATCCTACTGGCTAACATTCAGTGAACCTTTAGAGTGTGCCACACACTGTGTTAAATGTATCTCATGTAAAAAATTATCTCATTATTCCTCATAACAGCTCTGTGAGTGTGAAGAGCAGAGAGGTTAAATTAAATGGTCACGTAGCTAGTAAGTGGAGGAGCCAGGATGCAAACCCTGGGAGTTTGGAGGCTAAGCTCTTAACCAGTACACCATTGCTATGATACATCCTACTAGCGGACAGTTTCTCACCCTCAGCACTGTTAACATTTGGGGCCAGATAATTCTTTGTTGTCAGGGGCTGTCCTGGGCAGTGTAGGATATTTAGCATCTCTGGCCTCTACCCACTAGATGCCAAGACCCTCCCCCGCAGGTGACAACAGTGACAGTATAAATGTCTCCAGACATTGTGAAATGTTCCTTGGGGGGCAAAACCTCACCCTAGAGGAAGAGCATGTTTAGGGGCCTCTAAGGTAGTTGAAAATAAAATTCTAAAAACAGAAAATACAGAATTGTAATTTTAAAAAAGGGTCAGTACTAAATATGTGATATGAAAGTCAGTGTTAAGTGGTAGTTATTACCACTTAAAAAAAAAAGTGTACAGTCAGCAAAAAAGAGGGCCCAGGACAGAGCTGGGGAAACTCAGCAGTTGAGTGACAAGAGTGGCTGAAGAGCCAGAGGTTGAGAGAACTGAGAAGGAATAGTCACGGGGTGTTGCCTCTGTGGAAATAAACTCTTGGAACTTTTTAAATTATAAAACTAATCTACTCCCATTGTAACTTAGGAAATAGTAAAGGAAGTGGTAGGATTTGGCTGTGAACTATCAATTTTACCATTTTAATGTGCCATGTCTTATTACCCCAATTGTGCATTTCTTTTAACTAATATTTTATTTAATGGTAAAAAATGAGTTATTTGGTTTTCTAAAGGAAGAATTTCTTATTTCAGGTTGCCGAGGAGCTCAAGTAGAAGAAATATGGAGTTTAGAACCTGAGAATTTTGAAAAATTAAAGTAAGTATAACTTCAATTGTGTTAAAAATAATGTCTGTATCTAAGCAAACTTTTGTGTTTATGTTACTTGGGTTACCCTGGGCTAAGTATTATCTCCTTTAAGTCTTTTTTTCAATCCTGTGAGGCGGGTATTATTATTCTCATTTTATAACCAAGAACCTGAGGCTCATAGCTAGGTGACCTGTAAGGGATTAAAAACTAAGTCTCTGTATGGGGCCGGTCCTGTGGCCGAGTGGTTAAGTTCGCGCCCTCCGCTTTGGTGGCCCAGGGTTTTGCCGGTTCGAATCCTGGGCGCGGACACAGCACCACTCATCAGGACATGCTGAGGTGGCATCCCATGTGCCACAACTAGAAGGACCCACAAGTGAAAATATACACAACTATGTACTGGGGGGATTTGGGGAGAAAAAGCAGGAAAAAAAAAATTGGCAACAGTTGTTAGCTCAGATGCCAATCTTAAAAAACAAAACCAAACAAAACAACTAAGTCTCTGTAGTTCCATATCAACAAAGTACTGATTGGTTGGTTTTTTACAACATTGACTTATAGTTCGATAGAGTTAAAACATGGGATGCATTTTAATATAAAAAACATGAATAATAGGTCAGTCTACAAAAGCATATTTAGAAGATAACGTATATTAATAGTACTTCAGAACTTGTCTAGTTATGATCACATTGCTTCTTGGGCAGGTTACAGTTCAGATTCCAAATGCAGATGCCAGGAAGTGCCTTCCTCTTCCCCCCATCCTTCTGACCAGAATCCTCTCTCTGGGCCTCTCCATACCCCTAAGCTGCATGCCCTCAGGTGTTGATCCTGTGTTGCAAATGGAGGGCTAGGGGGGTTTTCACTGGTGGGAGAGTTCCTGGACTCTTGCAATGGGGACAAGGAGTAGGCTTTTATTTTTTTTATTTTTTATTTTTTTGAGGAGGATTAGCCCTGAGCTAACTACTGCCAATCCTTCTCTTTTTGCTGAGGAAGACTGGCCCTGAGTTAACATCTGTGGCCATCTTTCTCTACTTTATATGTGGGACACCTGCCACGGCATGGCTTTTTGCCACGCAGTGCCATGTCCACACCCGGGATCCGAACCCGCGAACCCCGGGCCGCCAAGAAGTGGAACGTGCAAACTTAACTGCTGCGCCACCGGGCCAGCCCGGGAGTAGGCTTTTAAAAGGGAAAATGGAGATTTAGACAGCATAAAAAAAAAAGGGAAAATGGAGATCATAGGGATATGGCTACTGTTTTTAATAGTAAGAAGGAGATAGTTTGCTTCCCCCTGATTCCCCCTTGTCCACAAAAAGAGCAGTCACTTTAGATGGAATAAGAGATCGCTTCTGGCCGAATGATCAGGGAAGGTTAATTAAAGATGCGTCATTTGAACTGTCTTTAAAGGATAGGACTTTTGTTGCTTGGAAGGCAGTTGTGAAAGGTGGACTGGAGAGAATCCTGAGGTGGTGATTTAATGTTTTGTGGGCAAGAATAGTTCCTGGAGCAAAGTGGATGACTTTGTGATGCATGAGGTGACAGCATCCGTTCATACTGTAGTTTGATGATTGTTCATGAATCCAATAATTATATGAAGGTGACTTCCTGTATTTCATAACATGTATGCTGTCAACCATTTATCTGTGAACATCCCACATGCACTTTATTCATATGTTTTGGAATTCCATTTAGGGTTAACAGCTTCTACTTTTATGTTCTTATTTTCTATTTTTAAGTGAGATGATATAGGGTAGAAATGAATAATCTACAGACTTGAGAATAAATTTTTCATTGTAATTCTGTTTTCCCTGTTGTAGTTTTAAGTTTTATTAGCCTCATCTTAGGCAACATTCAGTGACTATGAATAGCAATAGAAACTTTAAAAAATTTCCCTGGGTCAGCCCTGTGGCCAAGTGGTTAAAGTTCCATACCCTCCACTTAGGCGGCCCGGGTTCACGGGTTGAGATTCTGGGTGTGGACCTACTCCACTCATCAGCCATGCTATGGTGGCATCTCACATACAAAATAGAGGAAAATTGTCACAGATGTTAGCTCAAGGCTAATCTTCCTCAAGCAAAAGAAAGAGGAGGATTGGCAACGGATGTTAGCTAAGGGCAAATCTTCCTCACCAAAAAGAAAATTTCTCATTTACTTCATTTGCATTATATTTGTTAAATAGCTGACTAAAATTTAATATACTGACAATGTGTTATACAAGCAGCAAGGTTTGGTGTCACTAATTTGTATTTTATTTTGTAGGCCAGTTCATGGGTTAATTTTTCTTTTCAAGTGGCAGCCAGGAGAAGAACCAGCAGGCTCTGTGGTTCAGGACTCCAGACTTGACACGATATTTTTTGCCAAGCAGGTATGGTTTTTGGATATTTGAAAGTCTTGAGAGCAATGCTTTTTATAAGCAGAACTCTGCTCCGCCTGTGTGTCTCTAGTGTCACAGTCCTCAAACTTTTTTGTCTTAGGAGCCCTTTACATCTTAAAAATTATTGCGATTCCCCAAAGAGCTTCTGTTTATGTGGATTATATTTATCAATGTTTATCATATTAGCCGTTAAAACTGAGACATTTAAAAATGTTTATTTATTGATTTAAAAATAAATGTAAGTTTATTAGAAGTTAATATAAATAACATATTTTTTAATGGAAAACAGTTATATTTACCAAAACAAAATAAAATAGAAGAGTGCGTTGTTTACATTTTTGCAGTCTAATGTCTGGCTTAATAGCACACAGCCGGATTCTCCTGTCACGGCTTTATTCAGTCTGTTGCAATGTTTTTATTTTGTTTCCTTTTGTTCTTGGTTGAACTACATGAAGGAAATTCAGTCTCACACATGTTTGTAGTTGCAAAGAGAGGAGTATTTTAATAGCTTTTTCAGAGAATTATGGATACTCTCTGATATTATATCAAAACTCCAAAAAGGTTGCTTAGTTGCAGGTTAGTTGCAGTGTGAAATTTGAAACCACGTCAGTGAACTTTGTTATATTAAAATCCTTTGGTTTGTCTCGCTCTTCAAATAATCTTTTGCTCATGAGGATCGGGTAATATCGTGCATTGGTTATTTTGAAAATTCGCTGACTTAAGCAGGTCTTCTAACTGTTGACTTGTTTGATTATATACGTTATCAACAAGTCACGTTTGTTAATATCACCATCGGTGTCATCAGAAAAGTCATTTTCATGAAACTATTAAACTCACAGCGGTGGATCTAAGTCTTACAAAGTTCGAGTTTTCACTTGAAAGTTCACATTTTATCCAGAACAGCAAATGCTATATCGTGTTTTCTTTGAAGTGACACTGATTTCTCTCAATTTCAAGAAAATTTCTGCCAAATACACTGTCTGAACAGGGTGTTTGTCTGCCATTTGTTCTTCCGAGTGAAAAGGATGTCCGTAGAAAACAGCGGCTGACCTAGCCCACACCTCCAACGATCGCACCAGTGCCTTTCCTCGAAATGGCTAGCGTGTGTTGGTGCAGCAGAAATGCCTTATTTGTACAACCTATTTCATTCAACAGACTCTTAAAGACTTGGACTCTGGGGTTGAAATTTAATAAAAATAACCGTTACTGCTTCATCAAAGACATTCTTCAGTAAAACTGACCTTTTCGTTTTGTTGTTTCTTTAACTGTGTCTGTGTGTCAGTGAAACAGTTTAATACTACTGCCTAGATTCATGCTGAAATACTTCACCCACCGCTGCTATTGTACTGTCAGTGCAAGTGTGAAAGCAGGGAATAAGGCCAGAACTGTCTTGAAATTATTATGGAAACAATTTTGAGCTCACGAACCCCTTGAAAAGAGTCTTAGGAATTCCCAGGGGTCCATGGACCACACTTTGAGAACTGCTGTCCTAGCGTGTACAGTGAAACGTTTAACTGACCTTATTAGGTGCCTCCCTATGTCTGGTCTGTTGTTTGGAAAAGCTGAAAGACAGAATGATAAAAGAGGTTTGATTCATGTTTAAAATCTAAGCTAAATATGCTTTATTTGTTTGAAAATTGCAGTTATTTCTGAGACTCAAAAAATTGCTTAGGATAATCTGTTTGACCTTTAGAAAGGTAGAAAAATAAAAGTGCTGATTCTCATTGCTGCCGTTGAAATGAAGCCTTTGCTGTTCCACTTAGTAACTTGTTCCCTTTTTCTCTTATTATTTTACTTCTTTCCATTTTCCACCAACTTTTGAAAATTGAGTGTTTTTAGAGAAATTAGAAAATTCTTGCTTTTTTACTTTAGGGGTTAGGAAAACATTGTTTTATCATTGTGTAAAGTGTCAGGCTTTTTTTTCTGATAGCAGAACTTTAATTACGGAAATAGAGAGTGATGGCGATGGATATCCTTGTAATCCCCCCCATCTCTACTAACCACTCTGACCAGTGTGACTCATTCATTTAATCAGCAAGTGGTCATTGAGCACCCACTTTATGCTAGGCATTGTTTTAGGCACTCAGGATATAAAGATGAATAAGACACCGTGTCTCTTCTTATTAATAACAACTATAATGATAGCAATACCAACATAGCCAACGTTTGCCTTTCTTGTTGTGTGTCAGATATTGTGTTAGATATATTATTTATTTAATTCTTGCAACAACCCTATGAGGATGTTATCTTCACTTCACAGATGAAGAAATTGAGGCCTGGAAAAATTAACTTATTTGCCTGAGGTCACACAGCTAGCACGTGGTAAATCCAGAATTTAAACCCAAGTGTAAAACCCAGGTTTGCAATTCCGCATGCCTTACTACCTCCCACATTTTCTGTTCGTTCTCTGACACGTTCTTATAAGTTTTTTAATGAAAGTTGGATTATTATACAAAATATTTTGCATCTTTTTTCTCTTAATGGTAAAAGTTTGACTTTGTCCTATTTCAGTACACATACCAGTATTAGCTGACATTTATTGAAGGCTTGTTAGGTACTTTTGTATATATTATTTTTCATTATTAATTTCTTTGTAGTAACTCATTCTCATAGCAACCGTGTGTCGTTTTACAGTTTCCTCATCGTTTCACAGATGAGGAAACTGAGTCCCAGAGAGGTTAAGAAACTTGCCCAAGTTATGCAACTAGTCAGTGGCAGAGCTGGGGTAGCTCTGAAATGCATACTCCTCATCACATCAGAATACTCCCTCTTTTAAAAGTACTCCTGGTCTAAATGGCCTATAATTTATCTAACTAATCTCTTAATGCTCAACATTTTGAGTTTCTAATTATTTCTCTAACACAGATAATCCATTTATATATTGTAATATTTGTGTACTTATGTATCATTGCAATACAATAATTATAATTTTAAAACCACAGTTTGTGATTTTCAAGATCTAGGTAGTAGAGAAAAAGTAGGGAACAGATAGTTTTAAAAGTCTTTCAGGTGATATTTCTCCATCTAAAGAAAGTTTCTGTTATTTTTTAAGGTGTATAAGAATATATGCTTATAACTATTTAAGCATTATAATTGTATGATGCAGAAAATAAAAATTCTTTTTAATGTCTACTCCAGAGATAACCGCTGAAAACAATTTATATTCTTCCAGATCTTTTCCATGTATGTGTATGCGTGTTTATATTTCTTGCACACTGAATTGTAAATCCGAGAGTCAGGGATTTTGTTTTCGTGTACAGTCCTTGGCACATGGTAGATATCCAACAGATGTAGACTGAACTCTTCATCTCTAAGATTGTTACAATTAAAGAACACTAGAGTTCACTAGGACGCTGATGATGTCTGATGTGTAGAGGCCTGGATATTTTTAAGGTGTAAGAAAGTATTCTATAAAGAAAAGAACTGATCCTAGAGTATGAATTTGTAGTTTCTGGAGTCCCTTGATATTTTTCTAGTTCCATATTACATTTTCATTTCACTGTAATTAAATATTTTGTTTGTATTATATTATTCCTGCTGTGTTTATTAATATGTCAGATTAGTGATTTCCCAATAATATCATTTTTTTCCTACTTTATTATGGCAACAGTTCTCATTAAACTGACAGATCAGGAATTCTCCAGCAATATCTATCAGTCTTTTTAGTGTATGCCTCCTATGAGCCTATGCTAGAAACTTTGTAGTATATATTACATAAACATATAATCTTTGGTTCTAGGCTTCAAGAGCTTATAGTAATGGTTTCCAATCCAGGGTCTCTGGACTCTTAGGAGTATTTTCAGAAATTTAAAAAAGTAGATTAAAATCATATTTATTTGTGGGGCTGGCCCCGTGGCCGAGTGGTTAAGTTTGCGCGCTCTGCTGTAGGCGGCTCAGTGTTTCCTCAGTTCGAATCCTGGGTGCTGACGTGGCACCGCTCATCAAGCCACACTGAGGCGGTGTCCCACATGCCACAACTAGAAGGACCTACAACTGAGAATATACAACTATGTACTGGGGGGCTTTGGGGAGAAAAAGGAAAAAAATAAAATCTTTAAAAAAAAAATCATATTTATTTGTGATAAAGTTCTACGGGTTAACTAAGTGTATAGTTTTGGTATTTATGGATGGAACTGCATCAGTTTAGGGTGGTAAAACTGGCTGTCTAACGCTCATCATTTGCTCTGATTGGGGGTGTGTGTGTGTGTGTGTGTGTGTGTGTGGATTGTTGGTTAATAAAATATCGAGAAAAGACACTGTCATTACAGTAATTACAATTCATGTATAAGGATCCAAGAATGACATTTTGGTAATGCTTCTCTACAAAACATTGTCGTCTTGTTACCCTTTTACTGATGAGAAAGCTGAGGTCTGATTTGCTTAAGATCCTGCTGCAGTGTGCTGGGTTTGTCTGACTCCATCGGTTCAGTCTTTCAGGAAGGAATGATTGAGTGCCTACAGTGTGGCAGAGACTGTGCTAGGTGCTTGGGAAATGATGAACAGCCGTGATCCCTGCCCTCAGGGTACTTGGAGTTTATTGGAGGAGATTGGTATTAATCACTGAAATGCAGAATTACAGTGGCAATCAGTACTGCATGGAGTGAAAGGAGAACTATGTTACAAAGTTTGAGAACAATCTGTAAGACTACCCTCACTTTGAACACCAGCTACAGAGTTTAGGGTCCCCAAAACCATCCTCATTTCTGACAGTCGCAAGTTTGGGGGATCCTTAAGACCACCTTTAGGTTCTGAAATTTGCTAGAAGGACTCATAGCCCTCTCCAAAAACTGTTATATTACAGTTAGAGTTTATTGCAGTGAAAAGATACAGATTAAATTTAGCCAAGGGAAGAGATGCCTGGGGAAAGTTCCAAGCACAGAGCTTCCAGTTGTCTTCTCCCAGTATAGAGTCACAGATGGTGCTGACTTTCCTGGCAGTGATGTGTGACAGTATTTCCAGGGAATCTCAGCTGATTCTTGGCATCCTGAGTG